TCTTATTTTCTTATATATAAATAAATAAATTTAAATAAATAAATTTGTACATAAAAGTAAAAAAAATGCTGCCAGCAAAATAAAAAGTCTCGTTTCAAGTGGGACAATTCTTGCATATCAAAAATTAAATATGAAAAATGCACGAAAATGGCTTTAGTTCTAATGAAATATCGAGAAAAAAATTTTTACATTTTTGTATTATATCACTGAATTTATTCGCTGGTAAATATAATTCTGGCACTCACATATATATATTCGGCCGAGCTCCTTCTCCAATTTGTGGTTTTGCGTCTTGTTGTGTTTCCAACAAATGGAGGAATACAGTAAACATTAAGCCGCCTCTAAACGGCTGATGGTTTATTTATGAGGAGCTTTATTTCCTGTCGGAAATACTCTCGGTGGGGTTGACATTCGCTGCCGAGGGACAATTGCAATCAGAAAATTTAACTTAATTTTTTAATTCAATTTTGTTACTACGACACCAGGGCTTGAACCGGAGCCTTCCGAATGGCAGTACACATTGCTAACCACTCGGCTATTGCAGCCGCTTGAAAAAATTCTAGCCTCTTCTACTCAATGGGTATCAAAATTAGTCATTCTCATTCGTGGCTGTGACTTGGCTTTCATTGATCCAGTTTTTGACGTAGTGTATGAAAAACTCATCACAAAACTTCGCTGCATTAGATGGTACTGATTGGGACATACCTGTAAAACGAGCAAATTGCTTTAAGACCTTAGAACGTACCCCGAATACTAAAGACTACTGCTATTCACACTGAATAACTACAAAAAAAGCGATATTTCTATCAACAGAGGCAGTAAAGCTTGAACTTGAGGGAGCAATTCGGTATGAAATCTGACTCTTTGAAACCATAAAAATTATACTTGAATGTTGGAGGTTGTTTAGTTGAATCATAGAACAGGTTACATGTAAAACTCCAAATTTAGATAGCAAAGACGCACCAGGTGCACTTACCAGGTCTACAATTATGAAATGAGCGATTAAAAAACTAAACAAAATTTTATTGAAAATATGCACCATTGGTTTCTATACATTTTAACCGCCTTTCTGACAACTTGTGGATACCACGACAAAATAAAACTGTTCGTCTTTTGAAGAAACACAATCAAACACCCAATTCTGGAGTTCTTCGTAGAAATCGAAGGGCTGATCTGCCAATCTGTGATCTAATCCTGGACCGATTTTGCATTATGTGTCGTTGCATTGTCGTGTAGTAAGATTACTTTTCCTTGTCTTCTGGACCATTCTGGACATTTTTCGATGATTGCACTCTTCAAATGGATCATTTGTTGGCTGTAGCGGATAGTATTAACTGTATCACCAGATTTGAGAAGCTCATGAGCACAGAGCATTGTCTTTTCCGAAGTGGTCTTGGTTTTTCAGTCGATGTTGATGGTTGCTTAGGAATAACCCAAACATTTTTTTGCATAGGATTCTTAAAATAAAACCATTTTTCATCTCCAGCAAAGTTTTTTTTTTCTGTAAATGATAACAAAAAAATTAAAGTTTTTAACTTAACGCTCATTTCATATTTGTAGAGCTGATAGTTAAAGCTCAGTTAGGCACTGCAAACATTTAAAACAGATTGTATTGAGCTAGAAGTTTGTCCACTTCTAAGCATCTTGTGGACCTTTACACTAATCCGTCTGCTAAGTTAATATGGACGCAGTACTGGCTCAGTGAAATTTCGTAACTGTCATTTCTGGATTAGAAGAACGTAATATTTTTATGTATGTGCCGGTGCTATGAGAAATTATAAGTATTTTGTTAAAGCTTTTTAAAATTCAAATTCAATCGGGAGAGTCTATAATTCAGAAAATATTAACCTACAAGCTAAGATATTCAAGGTCATTGGTTCAAACAGAAAAATATGAATAGAAAAATAATATTTCTAATAGAAGTCTGCTAGCGACAGCAGCAACCATAGCAACACCAGAACAGTAAATAAGACCAAAAACCAAAACATGGATCGGCCAGATGCAAACATCAGACTAAACATGGGATAGGATAGGATATCACATATCTTGGGGTTCACTTCTATAGACGATTAACTTGGAGATACAGCTGAAGCTTAAAACCTTCAGTTTATATTGTCTTATATATAAGATATCTGAGCTCAGCCTCGAAAACGAAGCTCTTATTTATATTGCAACTATGAAACCGATATGGATGCATGGAATCTAGTTATGGGGAACAGCTTGCGTAACGAATATAGATAGAAAGGTTCCAGGTAGAAATCTTTAAGAATGATAATGAGCACACCATAGTACATGCGTAATGAAAATATCCATAGAGACCATAATATAAGCACAATCAAAGATGAAATTGAAATTGCCGCACAAAAATACTAAGCAGAACTGCACAATCATAAGAACCCTTTGGCTATCCGCTCGGCCGCCGCAAAAAGTCAAAGACGCCTGAGGAGAAGGGACTTACTATCCTTGTATAGGGCAACACTGAGCCAGCAGTCCATTAATAGCCAATGGGCTATTATATTTCAAATTAGTTTTTCAGTTTTGATAAATCCAAGTTTTCTACCGGAATGATGAAAAAACTCTTCAAAAAATTCTTCAGCAATTCGGAGACCACCATAAATTGTATGCGGAGCTTAGCCGAAAATTGTTTCAGCGGTTACAAAAACACGTTGTAAAGTTTGAGAGCAAATTATAGAGAGAATTTATATTAGCTAAAAATATACTTAAGACCAACTTTGCGTGCAAACTCAAAAACATAAAAAAATTTTATAACATACATATGTATTTACAAATAGCACACTTATCGACACTTCCATTTCTCTTTTATATGATGCTTTATTGTTTCTGAATAACTTTTCTTGTATCTCTTGTTTTTTCCGTTAATACTACATACTTACAAATGAAAACTTACCTTTAATGCTTCATTTTTCGAACATTCAATTATTTTTGTAAACCTTACATACACACAACCTTAGGTTGACCTTGTTCACTTACTTACTATTAGTGGCTTAAGCACGATAATACAGATTCAACATAGAAATACAGTTAAGTTTTCGGTTGGGTGGTGGGTGGGGAGAGGGATAAAGTGGTTGAGAATTTTTAATTGAGCATTCATGGATTTGGATATGAATGAGATTTTCATGCAAAAATACTTTAAATGGATTATATATGTAATGAATAAAAGTAAGTATATGTGTATGTGTGTATGTGTGCGTTAATTTCATCTTAAGTCCTTGTAGAAATTTTTATTGATTGTCCGAAAGTTTAAATTCATCTGTATGCCGTTGTGAGCGTGTGAGGTTTATTATACGAAACAAAGAGAGAGGGGGATGTGGAATTTTTTTTATATAGTTCGGGAGTCGAAGGTAGATTTTTGTGAAAGTTTTATGCCACATGGAGAAGTTAGTTGAGGACGTCTTTAAACATTTTATAAAACAACAACATCAACATTCACATTCACTACTAAAATATTAGCCCCGCCGGCTGATGCCCTTTTTCACCCGTTCAATACGTCGGAACCCGCCCAAAAAATTTATTCACTAAACACCAACATTTTCACTATGTAAAATTAACCTTTTACCATTTTAATGGAGCGCAGCAAACTCTTCTTCTCTTTGTATGTGGCGGCTGCCTTCTACTCTGGGCTCAGCCACAACCTTAAAACTGCTGCCACATCTAATCTCACACGGATATCGAATAATCGGATTTTTCACTTAACAGCTTTTGTTGTTGTGGTGGTGCGGGTGAATGTTGTTGTCGCGGTTGTTGTTGTTGCTGCTGCAGCTGTTGTTGTTGTTGTTGTTGTTGTTGTTGATGCGTTTGCCCCTTTTGCGTTTGCGGTGGTGGGCAGCGAGTCTCCTGCTGCTGTTGTTGTTGCTGCTGCTGCTGTAGCTGTTGCTTTTGTTGCAGCTGCGACGTGGTGGACGATGGTCTCGACCACAGCGTCGAACGCATACCCAATTTCAATTTCTTTAAGGTGTCCACATCGCACTCCACCTCGGAGAGTTCGATGCGTTCGGTCTCAATGGGCAGCTGATGGAAGCCGCCGGTTGGCATTACAGCGCATTCAGCTTGTAGCTGCAGTGGATGCAGGGTGCGTATGCCTCCAGTCCTATTTAGTTATTATTGTTGTTCGATGTCATTTCATTGGTGGTGTTGTTGTTGTTGTTGTTATCAGATAACATTACATATATTGTTGTTGTTGTTGGTTAGTTGGTGCATGTTAGTTAAAGGAGGAAAAGTATTTTAAGGGGAATTACATAATTACAGTCGGTATCATGCAGCAAGCAAAGTTACATACATACACACATACATACATACATACGAGTATGTATATAGGTATGCATAAGTATGCCATCTAACAAGTGTGTATATGTGTTTTCGTGTTTGTGAAAGAACATTTTTATTTGTATGTGGTCAACTGTGTGGGTTTACTTAAACTGTTTGCTTCTAATTTTCAATGGCAAATTCCGTAATTCTTTACTGTTGAGTTTCTATTGAATGTCGTTTGGTTTTGCTCTTGTTTTCTTCTTTATTCATTTACTACTCTGGCAATTAAGCTGTTATTTACGTTTCACAAATTCTCTAGTTGTATCATTTTGCTTGCAGGATGGGGAAATTACATAACAATAAATAAAAATAAATTTTTTTAAAAACTAATTTTTTCAAAAATAAATGCCCTTTAAGCCTATATTAGCATATCTAGAAAGTCTGTCCAATGTCAAATGATCTTCAAATTTAATATTAATAAAATTAAAAATAACATAATTAAATAGTTCGATTTGCTTGATTTCTCATAATTTTTTATTTTACTTGTGAGCCTCAGCGGTTCTCTTACAATTCGAAGAAAGATCAATATATTTATTTTAATTTTATTTTTTTGGAGCTTAAAATGTATTTCTAATTTCTTTTAAAATTTTAAATTTAATTCATTCACGGTGGCGCTAAAAATACTCTGAGCCTTTTTGGTTTGACGAAAATTTCGAAATAATAATGAACGTCCTTTGGCACTTAAAAAATTTACCGGCTCTTAATTAAATGATCTATTATTAGTAAAATAATTGAATAAAATTATTACTTTCAATTTGGGGAAATGTATTTTTAATCCAGTTTCATTGCCAACCCCGACTTTATTCGAAAAATTAGGTTTTGTGTACAAAAAGGTAGAGAAGTAAATGATTTCCAGTAAATATTTACAAAAGGAGCTAAAATTTATGCGAAGTTAAGTAATTTCTCCACTATTTGTATTTCTCCCTTTCATTTGTACACATATAATTACTATCTATACCAACTAGTACCAGCTACATCTATACCATATACAATTTAAGTCCTCCCTCCCTATGACTGCACGTCCCCTGAACCTAATACAATTCTACTTTAAGTTCACCCCCCTCTAACCCCTCTATCCACTAATCTCATGTTTGATCTATGGGATCCATATAGGTGCATGATATCTCACTGTCATAACCGAGACTACTCATTAAACTACTACCGTCGAGGTCTAAACTACCCCCATTGGCCGTATCCTATTTGGGCAGAGTTGTGGCCGAAAAGAACTTAGACGACAGGGGTGCTGTAGATGGATTTAAAATAGTGCCGACACCCTCACCCCCACCATTGGCATGTCCGCCACCCACCGAGGCGGGCACCGTCTTATGGGGAATGGGGCGAAATTGTGACGATGGCATGCAAGTGACTGGTCCGAGTGATGCAATGGGATTGTTACAACTGTTATCTAACAGGTCGGTGGTTGTGTCGGGTTGATTGAGTTGACTGGGGGGTAATGGGGCGCTGATCAAATTGTGATGCTGTTGAGGATGATGATGTGCTAATTTTGGGGTGATCAAAAGGGGTTGTTGGTGTGATATTTTGCTTAGCTTATTGGAGGTGGCGATGTTACTACTACTACAACTACTAACGTTAGTATTATTTATTAGACTACTATTTGTGGTTGCATTGGTGGTGACTGAATTGGTCTTTTGTTGTAGCTGTTGTTGTTGTTGTTGTTGTAGTTGTAATTGATGTTTCTGTAGTTGTTGCTGATGTTGTTGCTGTGTAACAGACGGTGACTTGACCAGCGTGGGTATATGACACTGTATGGAGTCTTGTGATTTGAATGTACTTGAAATTGATTTTAGATTACCACCACCACCACAACCACTACCACCACCACCACTGCCACTACCACTAATACTAACACCACCACCACCACCGCCGCCAACACCGGCACCGCGTGGTGATAGTATCTTAGTCGAATTATTTGCGGATGTGGTGTTCATGTTGTTGTTTTTGCTACTGTTATGATGGCGCGGTGTGGTATTTGTGGAAAACTGATATTGTTGATGATGGTACCTTGAACGACCGCGACGTGGCAATGATTTTTGTTCGGACATTGGTGATAGATCTGAGGATGTGCTTGATTGTGCTCCATGGTAGATGATACCTGCGGGGTGAGGAGAGGAATATTCACATTTATATTCAATTGGTTTTTGATTTTTAATCTTTTTCTTTTGTTTGGTTGTGTTTTGCTCGAATCAAAAGTTGGCTGTGTCTGTTTAAACTTGCATGGATGTATGTATGAATGAATGTGCATTACGGTGGGAAGGTTAGAAAGTACACATGAAAATCGAGTTTTAGAATTTTAAAGCAGAAAAATTATTTCAAGAAAAAATATCTCGTTTCTTCGAAACCAGTTAATAATCAAAAACACCGTTATAACTTTAAAACTACTCTCAAGAGAATTATGAAATATTTTTAGAAGATGTTGGTATTTAAAAAAGCGCTTTTAAGATTTATTTATATTTCATTTCAGATAAAAGATGTTTTCTTAAATTGAATGTTTGATCGAACATCACTTTTATTCAATTCAATTAAAAAAAAAACCTGTCCCTTTTATTGAGGAGAGATATATAGAAAACTTTATACAAGCAAAGGAGGTTTAATTAATTTAATCTTAATATATAAAAATGAACAGAACATTTTTTATATGTACTTTTCCTTTTTTTTTTTGCTTTTTTAATTTGTTTATTCGTTTGTTGGTGAATATACCTAACCTCATTTCTCTTGGAATTTATTTGTGTTACTTTCTCAGCTGATTTCTAAATTATTTGATCGTTCAATTTCAATCGATTGCTTCCTTTATTTCGGCTACTCAAAAGGTAAATTATTGAAAATTAATTAGTGTGTGCTTCATACAAAGTGATCAATTACAGATTTAAGTTTGTTAGAATGCTACGAAGAGGTCGCGCTAATATCGGTCGGACGAACCGATTGCAAAATCGTGAGTAGGCCAAAGTCTTCTAGATCCGATTGAAGCGAAGTAAATTAAGCCGTTCTGTCTCCATTAACACGTACACATCAACTTGCTACTGTGGAAATAATCGGCGATAACTCGAAATCGATATCGGTCGCTGTTTTACTGTAAATCACTGAATTCATTGGAATCATCGCGTATTGTGAATAGAACATGGTAATCACTGGAATCAAACCATAGACTATTGTGACGCAGCTATTCAATAATGTGATAGTTGCTAGAGTTTTGAAAGGGACTTCCAAGCAAAATGCTTGATGCCACGACTTCCTTTGAGTTCCAACGATTAGTCAGTTCAAACCACAAGTATTTTTTAACTATTCGATAATTAATTTAGGAATATTTGTTTCATTTCAGTTTCTCTAGTCTCACTAGTTCTTTATTGAAAAATTGTATTTTTTTTCGCAATTTCGATTTTTATAAAAGGTAAACTTCGGATTTTCTCTCGAAAAGCTAAAAAAAAATGCTGTGGCCATCATTTCGTTAATTTATTTCCAAGTGGTAATCAGCACATCGATCATAAATTTTAAAAAGAATTTTTTTGTTCGAGTCTTGAGCACCAGAAGTCACTTCTCTTTGAAGCTTGGTGGACATAAACAGCCAGAGCTTTTAAAATTATGGCTTTTTTTCTAAATGCTCGCGTAGTCAAGTTGAAATCATCGTGAGCTACTGTGGTAAGTTTAGTGTGGTTTTTTTTTTCAAAGCAATAATTCGAAAAAAAATATTTAAGCCGCACACTGCTTCTTAATGGGAAAAATTACCTTTCAAACAAAGCAATGACTTGAAAAGTTTTATTGACACTCAGCTCCGCTTATTCAGCATGTGCATTTGACTATGAATGCCAATGGATCCGCCACTTAAATCTGGATTCAAGACGATTATCATATGAGTTGACAACAACTGGTGCAGCTCGCCCTCAAAGTCCAAGAGCACAACAATCGGTTTGGGGGAATTTCCGGAGGCGTCATACTTATAGACCACCTTGAATAGAAGTACTATCAAGAGTAATATTGTATAATTTCAAAGCCGGAATTGCAAATAAACTTTCGCATATGGCAAAGAAGAGATATATGTTTCATCATTAACGTTTACACTATTCAAAACAGGAAAAACTGCATGAATAGTACGATGTCCTATTCTCTCATACTCAACGTAGCTATAGGCCTAAAAAAAATATTGCTCGATAGAAAAGATTAATGCTAAAACTGAGAAATATTTTTAATCGAAAGATCGTTCTACAAAATTGGTTTTGAAATAATAGAGCGGTTGCTCTTAAAGGACAAACGGTGGTTGAAGTCCAATTTGAAACAAAAAACGGCTTCTCAAGCACTGTCTCGAAAATCGTTTCCGAATCTTATTAGATTTATATAACAGAATACCTCTTAGATCAAGTATGCTTTCGTAAATAAAAAATATATTTCCTAAGAAATTCAGCACCAAAATATTAAAATAAACAGAATGTCCCAAAATTAAGAGGCGGAAAGGGTTTTTGCAATATGAGGAATATTTTTTAAATGGGAGTTTCTCGAACACATCTGTCTCAAAATCATGTTTTCCGATCTAACTGCAAGCCCCTGGCTTGATCTATCCCTCCAAATTCTTTTATCTAAAAACTGTTTCAAATTATAAATTTTTACACGTATTTAAAGTGAAAAAGTAGCAAAAACTTAACCGTATAATTGAAATGAGCATTAAGCAATAAATTTATAGTTAAAATTGTTTCAGTTGAGGTTCGGGATGTAGAAAATTTGATAATCTTCAAGTAATGACAACACTTTTTGATTTCAGTATACTACAAAAGGCTGTAGGCTTTTTTCGCGCAGTTGCCGACGGAAAGCACTATTTTGTAACCGTCATTTTGAATTTTGACTATTTTTTTGAACACAAACTTTGCCTGATTTTTGTCCAATATCAGGAGAGGGCCCCCTTAGCGCAAGTGTTGACAACCCAATAAAATAGTTGACAGGCTCAATAAAAATTGTGCGTCAAAAACTCAAGAAAGCTTAGTTCGAAAATTTTGTACAAAGTACGAAGTGTTGTTTTTTTTGCGTTAGTGGGTTTGCTAATCGCCAAAATTGTCGCTTTTATATTTCCTATTTCCCCATAGGAATGACGGTGTCATATTTCGTAGAGCCCGTGAAATACTTCAACTACTCAATAAGACATTTCTACAATAAGTCTCTTGTTTTGGTATTCAGAATTCGCCCAAAACGTGTGATTTAACACCTTTCAATTTCATTCAATTTTTTTTTTAATTACCAGTCTATTGCAACAAACTCACAACCACTCTTGTTTTAAAGGATGATATTCAACGTTGGTTAAATGAAATTCAGCTAAATTTGTTCAGAATAGTCATGGAAAATTTCGAAAAACACGTGAGTATACCAGTGGAAAGCCATGAAGGCTATTTTGCAATAAATTCATTCCAAACTTGCGTTAATTTGTGGACACTCTTTATATATATATATATGTCGTATAAATTAATATATTATTATTTGCCATTCAGGAAAAATTCTTTAAATTTAATTTCATAAAAAAGATTAATAATAAGTGAATATTTTTTCCACACCCTAATTCCATATAGCTTTCTTAATTTTTAAAAATATTTCCTGTTTTTAGATTTCGGACCACCCAAATATTTAGCACAGCAAAATGCACACATTCACATGCGATTACGATGTCTTTGTTTTTCGAAAGTTTATTTGTTTATTCATTAGTGTGTGCATACACTTAAATATATATACGCACACGTTTATGTATGTAAGGTATGGTGTAAATATGAAAATGTTTATTGACTGAGATTGATTGCTTGGTCGATTTTCATGTGAACTTTGTATTGCAATTTCGAATATTCGAATATACTCGTATGTAGATTAGTGTAGCAATGTGTTTTCTGGCTTGATTAATTCGGTAAATATACAAAGCTAAAGGTAAATAAGAACATGTAATGTTTACGAGTATTTAAAAATGAGAAAATAAAACAAAAATTAATACAAAAGCTTAAACGAGCCTGCTATATAAATATAATTTTGTGGCTTTTGTCGCTTTAAAGCTCCGTTTTCTTTCTTATTTATTTCTACACAATTGTTCTACGTAGTTGTTGCATGTATTGTATATGTACATATATATGTAGCTAGAAGGCCTTGCATATTGCCTGCATTTGGTACTACAGATATGTTTTCGATATGTTGTGATTTAGAAAATGTTGCATTTTTTTCGAGTCTGTGAAGAGAATGCAGAAAAGAGGAAGTTATTTTTTTTAAATCTGGATTTTTTTTAGAGAATTGGGAGAACTTTTCTTAATTTTCGAAATGACAACACACTTTTTTTGTGCTCTAAGGGTTAAACAACAACTTGGAGTGGCGCAACTACGAGCTGAAATTGATTTTGGAACGCACTACAAAGAAAACGGATAACACTTTTTTTGTACTTTATGTTGCTGAAATTGAATTTTAAAGTGGTGATTGTGGTTAAAGAATTTACGCAGTGTTCGCAAATATGGGTAATATGCATGTGTGTATATATGGACGAAAACGATGGGGAACCTTAGCCTTAAGAATACAATAAAAAAATATGCCACAGTTTATTAACATTTAAATACAATTGGCAACCCTTTCATAAATTACAAGTTTTGATTTTCAGAGCATTACTTACTTTGAAAGCATCTTTAAATTTTTAATCTACTCACAATAAAATTCAAAGTATGCAAAGTTTAAATTTTCTTGGAATTAGGTGGCAAATCTGCTAATAGAAAATCACTTTAAACTTAGTTGCAACTCTTTTTTTGAAAAACCTATACAATTCCATACTATTAATATGAATTTTAAAAATATTTTTCATGTTGAAACCAGGTGGCAATCTTATAAAGATAAATAATATAAATAATAATATATATATGATATACCCTTAAATATTTTATGTTTTTAATATATAAGAAACCTGTCCGAGTCTTTCAAAAATTGAACTTTCAAATATTTTTCCAAACATTTTGAATTAATTTAATTTTTGGGCTCAAATTTTCTCTTATTTGATATGAAGGTTCTTAGCCATATGCAGATTTATATAATAATCATTGCAAATGTTCTGAAACATTTTAGAATACTGAATACTGGCAACACTCTTTATGTGGTTCACCACATCTTCTTCAGTACATACATACACACAGACAAAATATTGTGTAAGATTGCATGCCAACTAATGAATTGTGCCAGCGGGTTTTTAATTTGTAGCGGTAAATCGAAAATAAATAACAAAAGCAAGGAGAACGGGAATGAAAAAAGCATCTGGAACTTACTATGTTTAATTTTGCCCTCATGTTGATTTGATGATTCCGTGCGACTTGAAGTCAATTGATCCTGATCCGATTCGGATTCCTCGCTCTCCGGTTCTGTTTTGCGCGAGTGGCGTCGCCGATTCTTCGATGACTAATTGCATACCGGCAGTGAATGTGATTGACAAGCACGTGCGATTTGCAAAGAAGGAAAGAGTACAAAGAAAGTAGAGAGCATAGGTCAATTAAAATGTGTCCTGTGGGATTAAGGCGGTATGAGTTGCAAGCGAGCGAGGATGAAGGATTAGCATTTTAAAGAAATTAAAAATAGAAGTCGTAGTAAGCCACATAAATGCTTTAAGAAATAGAAGGGGATTTAAGTTTAATTAAAGTTAAAAATAAAAATAAAAGCGGTGAGCGTAGGAGAACTCACTAACTAAAAGTGAATTAATTGCTTTTGAACTACTTTTTCAAATCTTAAATATTTTTGCTAAAATTATCTTCTAAAGACTGCACGCAATAATTGCGGTGAAATTAAATATATAAATAAATAGAAAAAATGTTTTTAAATCTTAAAAAAATTAATATATTATACAGCCGCTTACACTTCAGGAATTCCATGAAAGTAATTATTTTGCTCCAAAGCTAAACAAAAGTTTAAATTTCTCTTTCAAAATTATTGAGCTGAACTCAGCACTCAAAATTCTCCCTTAACTGCCAAATTTGGGAGCGGATTCATGTATAATGCTGAAACTACCCAGTTTACATACCTCACAGCCGTAAAACCCGACTGGAAGCGGGACATGTCTACACGAGCTATCGACGCTGCTAACAGTGACGAAATTTTCGTCGACAAATTTCATAATTCATATGTTCGAATATAAACGGCAATCAAATATACATGACCTATATGGTAATAAATAATTAATTACGATTTCAGTTTTAATTTCTACTCATTTTCTTAGTTTCTTTAATAATCGCTTAAAGCAGACAACACTGGTAGTGTTGTAAAACAGCGAGCAATAAGCTCAACCGGTTTTACGGAGAAAATCAAATCACCGCTGTTTTCTGCGGGACAACCGCCAGTAGCTGAGATAAGGCCAATGAGAAACAACGAGCGCTATCCCTAAATAAGAGCGTTTGGCATTTTCTCTTTCTCTTCAAGTTCGCATAATTTTAAGAACATTTAATAAATTAATTGCATTTATTTCAAACAAGACACTACAACACGTACTTAACCGGTTGGCAAAAGTGTGCCTCCACCCGTTGAATTAATTTTATTTATTGAGAATATCATTTGCTCACCACGCGGCACCAATACATACAAATTGCATGGCCATGACGATTTCTGAGGTATTTATCGCTCAACGCTCCTGTTTAGGGATTGCAGTAAGGGCATCGGCAAGCGGTTAAAACTTTTAATTTACATGGCGCTGTGATAAGATAGGTTGCTATGGCTGGGAGCTAGAAGCATTTTTCAAATATATTATTTAGCTCGAATGATTTCTAGGCAGATTGCTATTGCTCTCAAGCGTAACTATTACATATACAGTCTTGACCACGTAAACAGGTTGGGCTAGTGCCTATAAACTTTATTTAGAAATATCAAATGGAAGACGACAAGTCTTACAAAAGTATGTTTTATGGCGTACATTCAATATTAGGATTGTATCACGGAAAACGAGACTTTTTTCCAAACAATCTGTCTTTTTTTTTAACAAATTTTATTCATTTTTTGTACAATACAATGTTCTCTTGCATCGCTTTTACAAATTCGGTTAAATCATCTGTTGATTTTTTGGTTCGACTTTTCTCACCATCATCCATGTTAAATAGTTGTTGCTGCTGTGGTTAAGGCGCTTTAATATGAAGATTACCAAATTGGCGTTGGTAACCAAGTTAAATTAGAAGGACAAGTGATGAGAGTAAAAATATAATTTCTGACAAAAAATTCTTTTATTAGTTTTCAAATTTATTTCTCTGAGCAGCAGTAATGTATGTGAATTTCAAGGGTTCTCGTTTTCCGTGGTACACACCTCGCATAATCAGCAAATTCAACTATATTTATGCACCAAATCCGAAAAACTATCTCTCTAGCACACTTTTTCAAAAGCGCTAAATTTACCAACTTCAAAATCTAACCACAAAAAACTTTAACAAGTAACTAAGAAAAACTAAAATATTGAAATTAGAAAAATAAGAAATTAAACGCACGATATTTTGAAATGGCGAGGTCTGATAATGATTATAGTTTGTCTTTGTTGGACGTTGATTATGGTTGTAATGATAGTTGAGGTTATGATGGTGGTGATTATGGTGTTGGGTTGTTTTTAATACCGCTGCGGGTGGTGGAGACGAGCAGCCCTCCGTCAAGGCACGCTCATGATACATGAATGAATGCAAAAGCGTATTAGCCGGACCGGCATGATGTGGCTGTGACATGTTGGCCGTCTCGGATAATTGGAATGTGGCATACGGTGATATATCCTCCGATGTTTCTGTGCGGAGAAAAACAAGAAAAAAAACATGCAAAGCAAAGAGAAGAAGAAGAAGGAGAGTTAAATAAAGTCAATAACATCGTATAAGGTAAATATATGCATAGTGTATGTATATACAGTTGCTGTTGTATGTACGTTAACACCATCTCATATATATTTGTATGTATAACAGCACCTAAAACAAACAACAAACAACGTACGGTACTAATTAGTAAATAATTGAAATGGAAATGGCTTTGACATTGCTTTACTCGCGTGACTTGGCAGCCGGGGAGTGAAGGAAAAAGGATGCCGTTGATGACTTCGAAGCATTGTGATTGGCAGTAGTAAGGCGTTGAGATTTATTCAATTTACATGGATGGCGAGGAATGTCACTGCACTTTAGTTAACGATAGACAGCAAGGCATACAAATATTTTTACACAGAAGGAGCATATGGAGAACTTTTACAGAGATTTCAAGCAGCTTTAAATGCCTTTCTGTTTCAATAATGAAATATTCTTGTCCGCTGCTGTGCAATGACTAAAAATATTTTATTTTATTTTGATAGGATTTAAATCTATAAATAGATAAAAAGTATTCTTCTTCTTTTGTGGGGGTAACGTTTACGTTATCTTATATTTACAAATCTTATGCCCGTTTGGAAAAATACAGTAATCTCCAAAAAAAAAAAAATTTTTACCATTAATATATATTAAATGAATCTGCTTAGACATCGGAAGCCTAACAATAAGTAATAGAATCATAAACTAAATTAAAATATAAAACACTTTTGTAGCAACGGACTGCTGGCTTGACGTTGCTCTTTAGAGGGCTCATTTGTCTCTTCTTTCGAATGGTTACACAGTTTCATAAAGTATTTTTGTACTTGAATTTCAATCTCTTCTCTGATGGTAGATATATTTAGATCTCTATGGATATTTTCATTACGCATGCACCATGGTACGCCCGTTACTACTCTTAACGTTTTCGATTGGAACCTTTGAATTATATCTATATTCGCCGCGCAAGCTGTGCCCCATAACTGGATTCCATACATCCAAATCGGTTTTATTGTTGTATTATATAAGAGGACTTTGTTGCTGAGTCTAAGTCCAGACTTCTTGTTTAAAAGCCTATACAAGCAGCTTTGAGTTTAAGCTGCAGCTTTTTAGAGCCAATGCGTCTCCAGGTTAAGCGCCTGTCCAAGTGGATTGCGAGTATGTTATTTCGGCGGTTTGCGGGAGCTACACATTAATAAGCTTGATAGCAGGGAGCGTTTTCGGTCTTAGTATAAAAGTGATGTGTTACCACTTTGCTAGCCAGTCTTCAATTAGTTTAAGGTGCTGCTGTAACATTTTTGCGGCTACAATGGGGCATTTATGTCGACTTAGTGAAGCAGTATCATGCGCAAATCTTGAAGTAATTACTTTGTCGCTTATAGGAATATCTGCGGTGAACAGTTTGTAAAATATTGGTCCAAGAACACTACCATGCCGAACACTTCCGTGATTGGATACTCTTCTGTTATATAACATTTCATTCAGTTTTACTGTGAATCGCCTGTTGGATAAGTAGGATTCAAGGATATTGTGGAAAGTGTGGCCATCATGCCATCATGCCACACTTTGTCAAATGCTTCCGCCACATCAAGCAAAATGGCCAAGCAATACTCTCCCTTTACTTGTAAAATTGTGCCGTGTTTTTCCCGAATTCTAAATTGCCATGTAGGAATAATATCATTTTGATGGAGGAAAGGAGTAATTTTTGATATCAGCACTTTTTCTGAAAATTTGGATAGGCAAGGCAACAGGGTTTAGCTATCATAATTATCTGCGACTTTTCCCATATTTTCGTACAATATCCTAGCTTTAATATAACACTGAAAAGCTTTACGAGAAAAACGAGAGCAATGCTTGGCAATTCTTTTGGAAATTTTGGTGAGATATGATCGACTCCAGGATTTTTTTCTGAATGTAAGGCGGTAATAATGTTTTTTAGTTCAGACACAGATGCTCCGCAAGTAACAGTGTTTCTAGGAGCAGTATGGTCCGGTGACAAAGGTGCACTATTGATATCAGTATTTGGTTGAAATACTGTACTCTCAACAGAACTTCAGTGCTTACTGGCAGCTTAAGGTTTTTGCTGGCTTTCCATAGACATTTTTTAGTGGAAATGTTGGGAGGCAAAGACGTTATAAAATTTTTAATATTTCTTTCTTCTCTGTATCTCCATGCATTTTTTAGCTTGTTTTCCGCCACCTTAAGACGAATCTTTGCATGGACCAGTAATTCTATTCCGCTATTACTTATTAATGTTTTTGCTTCTGTTATTTGATCTTCTGTGGCTACGATTTCTGCTGTTGCTAGTATACTGTTAAATACAAGTAAACAACATCAGTTCCTCTATCTACTTGCGGATTGGTCTGTATATGACGGCTACATGCATTTTTTATAATTAAGCCTCTTAGTTCTTGTTATACCAAGTCGAAAGCATACTCACTTTCAATTGCTTCTTCGTTCAATTTAATGATTATTGAGGAATGGGCAGAAAATAAAGCAGCACAGGTTTCAGCAAATGCTGAACTCCTATATACGTTTCTAGTAACTGTACAGTCTATCAGGTGAGGTAATTTCCTTGAGTCCTCAGGCCAGTAAGTTGGTTGCCTTGGGGACCTAAAATCGTATCTATTTTTGGTACTTATGATCGTATTATATAACTGCCAACTTTTCGGGTTAATTAGCCTCGCTGTCCAATCAATATTAGCTTCGTGTTGTAATCGCCTCCTGCTAGGAACCTATCTCCTAGAGTCATGAAAAAGTCAGTAAATCGCAGCTCATGCAAGGTCAACCCCCGTATTTTTAAGGGCGTCCGAAACTGACTGCAACCAATTTGTTGGAAGAAATTAAGAAAATGTGCATTAAACGGCTCCTTATAAGTATGCTGTGCCACGATGTGATTTGCCAACTGGGTGATTAGGGTTGTACAGCTTTAACCCAGGAATATAAAAATTATATTTCTGGGTGAGATGTGTTTCAGATATAAGCTAATTTATGCTTATTTACATCATTTGGAACATACAGTTTTGGGCCTTTATTAGGTCTTAACCATACTTTGCGTGGTTGACATAAATTGCGCCAGGCACTGGGTTAGATTAAGAATCATGGCGACAACTCCAGTACTGAAAGGAGTGACTGGTGAAGTCTGTTCATTGGCTTTTACAACGTTGACATAGGTCATTTGACCAATATTTGAGCTGGGTAGGTTGGAAGGACTCGGAATGGATATAGTCAAGGGAGTTGGTTCCGTTTGGCTTGTATACCCTTAGCAAGTTTCTATAATTCGTGGTGTGATTGCCATTGCGATTGCTCCACTTTTTTTGTGTTGTATCCGTTTTTTTCAAGGGGCACTTGGTAGAATGGTGAATATCACCCACATGCTACGTCTTAAGAACTTCTTCCACCATGATTTCTCGGTGTAGAAGGTGTTTTAACCTGTGAATTGGATGCGTTTCGTTCTTCTTAAGTTGAGCTGAGCTTGGCGATAAGAACACTTTGAACAAAGTCTGTGGCACTTTATTTCTGTTAATTATGTTAATGACCGCTCTGATTTCAAACCCTTGCTCCTCTAGAGCTTCTTTTATATCACTTGAGTCAACTGTGGCTTCAATTCCCTTAATTATAACAATCAGGCCTTCGTCAACTGGTAAGAATAATAACTCTTGTTGCTTGCAGAATTAAACACAATGAAAATTAAAGGCGCAAGTAGGTTGGTGGAGGTTAAATATTGGCGACTGTGGAAATACCCATTGGGGCGAAATTCCTTTTAGAGCATTACGATCAACATCGATAGTGGTGCCAACGGTATTATGCTTCTTAGCATTAATCACTTTTTTGCTTAAATTAATAGATTAATAGGAAGACTACACTTCTCCCTGGAAAAGGATCCATTCAAAAAAAAATAAATCTTATTAATTGTTCCATTTACTTGAAATCCGGTGAATAGACTTTTTGCTTTGGTGAGCAGGAATACTAAACTTCACTCCGCGAAGTGGACCAATGACAATGGTAAAACCCAAAATGTTGTATTTGCACAGGTATGGAGTAAATAGGTTATCATAAAAAGATATTCCATGAATAATTTTTCATATATTCGATAAGTATGTGCAGCAGCAAAGCGTTGCAGATTACAGGTAGTTGTAACTAAATGAACAGTGGCGTCAATTGAAAACAGCAAGTGAAGACAGGTTCCTTTTTTCCTGATCCTTTCAGAAGAGTGGATATATTCTTTTTCTTCTACTTCCATTGGCGTGTACTGAATAGAATATTCTCAGAGCTAGATAACTTAAGCAGCGTTTTAATTATATTAATAAACAAGAAAACTAAGGAAGTCACAGCAGAGCCAATTTATTCTTAGCGCAGTGTATAATTGAACAAAATGAATTGAAAGTCGTCCATACTCTGCTTGGCCCCCGTATGCCATTATCTTTCCTTAGTAAATCTAAAAAAAGGTGCTCCTTTCCTTTCCATTCTTCTCTTCACGCCATAATCTCTTAATTTAGTTGTCACTTTTAGGGGTATGGGATTTCACTAATTCTCTATTGCCGTAAAACTGTTTTCTTTGCCTACTCTGCGGCTTAATTTTAAAATCTCGCTATATTCTTTGCTGGAAATAATCAGCCACAGAAGGCTACCCGCTCTACTGTACACTCAAAATCATTAAGTACTTAGATCGCGCCATTAAACAATCAACAAATTGTGCCCTCAATCGAACAAAACGCCTAACACCACCGCAAATCACAACCATTTTCGCGCTTAACTACCACGAAACCGAAGAAATTCCACAATTCACAAAGCACACACATTCGTATACCAGCATATACTGCAACAACAATAAAAAAAAAGAAATCAAAGTAATAACTCACCGGGTATTTTGTCGTTATTCTGCATCGACACTTTGTGAATGGTGGCATAATAGCGCTCCCGTTGCGCGGCCTCCGAGTTCTGTCGATTCTCGAGTGATTCCTTTTGTATGCGATTTCCTTGTTCTAAAGCAAAGAAAATAAAGAAAATGAGCAGGGCAAATACATATACAAACAACAATCAAGTGTTGGAATTTGAAAAGAATGTGGGAGAAAGCGATATGAAGTGAGGGCTGGAGTGCGGGATCACTGAAAGCAGCATGTGAACGAACCTGAATGGCAAGCCAAAACTCAGTTAAAATAAATTTGAAAACAAAAAGAAAATATTAATCGTTATTTACTGCACAACAACTAACATCCAACTTTCACCAGCCACAGTCGCAGTCAACAGTCAGCGTCATGCCAATTAAAATTCAATTTGTTGTAACAACGTAAAATTTATATGCTCGACACGCAGGCGGTATATGGAGAGGCCTACATTAGCACAAGCGCAACACATGTGCGGGCTTTCGTCCTGTTCGGACTGCATGCTTTAGCGTAGCTTTTCCATAGCCCTTCGCTCTCTGTGTGCGGCGCTGTCTGTATATGCGCGTGCATTCATTGATTTGTTTGGTTATACAGTTAGTTAGTCGTTTGTCTGCTCAATCGGTTGTCGTGCTCCAGCAGCCCTCACCCTGCAGTTCTGCTCCCACATTCATGCAGTAGTTCATTCACACATTTGTCGTCCGCCTATTTGTCCATTCGTTTGTTGATTTGCTGCTGCTATTATGTCTGTGTTTGTACTGTGTTGCCTTTGTTTTGCCTTTCTTCTCATTTGTTTTGTTTTGTTTTGTCAGTGGCTTTGGCTTGACCCACTCAGCCGTTTACATGCACATGTTGCACCCATTCCTCCAAATCCAGTATTTCAGCACTCTTAGTCTTATATATATATATATATATATATATATGTATAGGTGTATGTTTGTATTAGGTACTCACTATGTCGATAGCACATGACCACCAGCGCAATTGTGCAAATCATGCCCGACAATGTGGCAATGCTCGGTATCAATAGATTCACATTTCCATAGAACACATTCGTGCCCCGTTGGCCGCGCTGCACAATCTCCGGTGGTGGCTGCTCGCCGTCCTTGGTGAGTGTGACAAATGTGAATTCGGCTTGCGACACACCGGCCACATTATGTGCCTCCATGCGCAGTTGATAGAGCGTCGATGGCTGGAGACCGGAAATTGTGAAACGACGTTGCGGTTTCAAAGCGTTCGATACTGTGCGTGGAGAAATAGAATGAGAGTAAAGACAATGCAATTATTTAGCGCAAATATCATTACAAATAAGCAGAGAGATACTTAAATGCATTGAGAATCTCCTCTACTGGTTATGTGAATTAAAGTTTAGCATATATATTCTCTAAATAAAGGAAATAATCATTAACGATTTGGTTTCAAGGGAATGTGGGAGGAGGGCATCTTCATGTTATAGTACAAAATTATTTTGAAAAGCAGACCGCTTTATATATTTTTAATGGCCAAATATAGTATTTTAGATGACAGTAAATTTATTTATTTATTTATTTTAATAATAATAACAAAGCATTAGTACAATAAGATTTCCATATCTTTTTTAGTACAACAGAGATAGTGTGAAGAACAAGTAAATATTACTTTACAGATACCTTAACAAAAATAANACTGTCTCACTGAAACAATACCAAGAATTTTTATTTAAAATGCCACCGAAACAGTATTAAACTCTCGAGCGTAGACAAAACACGTCCGGCCGCAATGACTTCAGTATCGACAATGAGCAATGACATTTGAGCAGATGGCAATGCCGTACGGAAATAAAACATAAATTAATCATAGGTATTTTCAGACGTTTTAAATACAATACAGTCATAGTAATAGATCTCTTATTTTACCGTAGAGTTTTAGATTTACCAATTAAGTGGCAACCCTACCCAAAAATTTTTCCTTCAGTAAGCCCCTTTTAGAACTTAAGCTTGCTACACAAATTGATAATAATGTTTATTTTTTTTCAATAATTTAATAAAAAAAAAATTATCAGGTGTACAACTTTGCTTCCGCCGTTTTCCGATAGGTGGCTGTACCGGCTGAGGCTGGTTGAAATACATAGATGATAATGCCTTTAAAGTGAGTGTGGACAGTGCCTAACGAATTGTCATCGCCGTTTCAGTGACAGTTGTTCTTGTTTTCGTATTATTCACGCTCGAAAATGTCCGTTTATGTGCCTAATTCTCGCCATTTGCGGGAAGTTTTACTTTTCTGTTACAATTCGAAAAAAAAATGCAGCTGAAGCGCATCGAATGCTCTCAGAAACTTACGGTGATGCTGCTCTGAGTGAAAGAACGTGTCGGGAGTGGTTTCAACGAATATTCACGGCGCCAAGGTTATGATTTGTATTTGGTGGGATCAGCTCGGTGTGATTTACTACGAGCTCTTAAAACCGGGTGAAACCATCACAGGAGATCGCTACCGAACGCAACTGATGCGCCTTAGTCGCGCGCTAAAAGAAAAGCGGCCACAATATCAAGAGCGACATGACAAAGTCATCCTCCAACACGACAATGCTCGGCCTCACGTCGCAAAAGTGGTCAAAAAGTACCTGGAAACGCTGAAATGGGAAGTCTTGCCCCACCCGCCGTATTCCCCAGATGTCGCCCCTTCTGACTTCCACCTATTCCGTTCGATGGCACACGGCCTGGCAGATCAACATTTTCAATCCTTCGAAGAATTGGAAAAATGGATTGCTTCATGGATAGCGTCAAAAGAGGACTCCTTTTTTCGAGCCGGGATCCGAAAATTGCCGAAAAGATGGGAGAAAGTTGTCGCTAGCGAAAAAAAATACTTTGAATAATATATCTGTAAGCACTTTTTCGCAATAAAGCTTTTAATTTTTGAAAAAACGGCGGAAGCAAAGTTGTTCACCTGATACATATACTAAAATTATTGTCTTCTTTATACCTAAAAGGCAGGCTTGCTGTGATCATTGTATATATTAATTTCTTATTATTTTATTTCACAAAAAAACAGGTGTCAAAGCTTCTAATTGCTTCTTAATTTTTACTAATTATTAAACATATATATTACTGAGTAATATTTTTACAAGGAACTTTCAAACGGGTGGCAACCTTCCTCAAAATGTTGGCAACCATTCTCTCCTCCTCCTTTTTATTTCTTAGCAATATTTTTACAATAAACTTTCCTAAAAACATTAACAGTTGGCAACTCTCTTCTAATTTCTATTTCTAAGCAATATTTTTACATGGAACTTACAAGAGGGTGGAAACCTTCCAGAAAACCTTAACATTAAGAAGTTCAATTTCTCCCATGAAAAAGCTATAGCCTCCTTTAAAATTTGAAGTTTCCGCTGATTGCTTCGACGTACTTTTAAACTCATTATTTTGGCCGAATTGCGCTTTTATTTTTAGAGTTTGTTTTAAATCAAAGAAAGATTAGAGACAATATTGCTCAATCTCGCTGTGATCCTTTCGTTTTGCCCGAAGATGGTTAGCATCCATCTTTCATCTTTAGATGCTCTCTCTAATCCTAATTATCCAATATCTACCTCATAATCCAAAAATTCTCGTTTTTTCATTTAAAAAGGCAAATTATATTAATCTTAGAAATGCGGAGTCTAAAATTTCCTGGCCAATGTATGACGGAAAAGTGGACAAAAGTGTTGTTCACTTCACAAGTGTTTACTTTCTGTCTTCAGAAAATTTGTTACTATAACAAATGAGGCGATCCGTACTCAAAATGCTTTATGGTTAAATAGAGAATTGAATAGTTGGAAATATAAAAAGACTAGGTTATTCAAGCTGTATAAAAAGACCGACAAAATTTCTGATTATGGTGCTTATTCCGTAGTGAGAAAAAAGCATAATATTTTGAACAAGTCGGGTTACATTAAGTATACGACAAGAGTTCAAAATAACATTACTTCGAATCCGAAGTCATTATATAGTTTTGTTACTTCGAAACGAAAGACTTTGGTTTTAGATCATCAATGAAAATGAATGATATAGTCTGTTGGGATTCTTACAGAATCGCAGATATGCTAATTTACCCTTACTAAAGGTCTTCTATTGATTGCGTAAAAGTACCTCATATATCTGCTGATGTTGTTTATCACATTAATGTCCTTAAGAGCTCATTCACATGCCGTCCGGATAATATCCTTACTAGTGTACTTAAATTTTGTGCTGAATCTCTATATATACCATATTTAATGCTTCATTAAAAAAAAAAATTTATTAACCTCCTTGTACCTCTACATAAATCTAGCAGTACATCTTCAAGGAACTACAGGGGGATAGCAAAGTTATGTTCTATCCCTAAATTTTTGAAGCTATTATAACAGATGAATTAGCCCATTCTGTGTCATCAATATTGACATCTTACAACATCGGTTTTGTAATTTTACCCTATCGAACCTGCAGAATTTATCAGTACCATGACAGTAATCGTTTCAAAAATGGTAATCAAACATTGACTGCAGTAAAGCATTTGAAAGGGTGTTTAATTTTTTACTTCACTTTAAAGTCGATCATGTCGGTTTTCCACATTCCCTTCTCTATTGGATTTCATCGTTCTTGATTGGTAGGAAACAAGAAGTAATTTTTAAATATTGTACATCACATGAAATAGTAGTATCTGGTGTTCCTCAAGGCATTCCGCTCGGCCCCTAACTCTTCCTTATGTTCATCATTAACTTTCCAAATGTTGCTCTTCATTCTAAAATACTGATGAATTTTTTTTATTTCACACTCTTATTTTTCGTAGCACATTTCAAAGGATTAAAAAGTTTAAATGTTTAGAATTATCAAACAAGTTTTTAAAACCCGAAACTGTGTCATGTTTACTCGTATACGCATTAAATTCTCTATATCACTAAAAGTTATTAAATGTTGACGACTTCTGTACTTCAGACTTGACTGCCAAGTATCATTTTCTTAGTTGGCTAGAAAAAGCTTCTTATATGGAGCACGGTACTGGTCTTTGCTAGTCTTTGATAGAGCGAACTTTGTTTAGTTAAAATTAGAAACCAAATAAAGGTGAAAGCCCGACTCACGAGTCATTTTTTAGAACGATATTTCGTTACGCTTTCTCCATTTCTTGGTGGGCCACTTTGCGGCATAAAGAGCGAACTCACTTCGCAGCCTACTCCTCTTCTTTCTCAATGCTCAGAATATCTTAGCGACTAAACTCATAATAACTTCACTGTCCCCCATGACGCTTACCCAATATCCAGTCACGTTCCGCCTCGTCAGTTACCGGCCGATATTGTAGGACAAAGTAAAGAATCGGACAGCCATTGTCTGGCCATGTGTGCAGCCGTACAAGCACAGAGGTAGAGTTCGGCGAAATCAAACTAGTAGTTGAAGGCATTCCGGGTGACTGGCCTTGCGTGCGCACATGCAAGGTGATGCTGGCCGGTGAGGTGCCAACTTTATTGTGCGCCGTCAAATGAATTTGATAAGTGCTACCGCAGACCAAGCCCTTCAGTTCATGACTCGACGCATGACGTGACAAAAGCATCTCATCCATATTACTATTGGCACGTCGATAGAAGAGTGTGTAGCCGGTGATGGGTGCATTGCCAGTGAAACCACATTTCCAATGCATAAGGATGCTGCTCGATGTGGCGCTGGTCACATACAGTACCGGCGCCGACGGTGGTACCTGTACAAGCAGCACATGGGTGAGACGGTCCGTGCCGATGCCATTGTCCACCTGACAACTGTAGTTACCACTATCCGAAATTTGTAAACTCGAAATAATCAAATCGCCCGAATCGAGTAGTTGAGAATTATGTAGACCACCCTGTCGCAACGGGGTATCCGCTTTGTACCACTCACGTTTCGGCTTACCAACCGCCGTGCAAGGCAATGTGACAGTTGAACGCCATGGTCGCACTATCGGACCGCCAAAGGAGACAATGCGTGCTGGCACACGATTTGTTGTGATTTGTGATGCAACACGTGAGCTCTTGCCCTCACCGACACGCGTCGATGCGGTAACCCAAAACTGATATTCGATGTGCGGGTGTAAATTCTTCGCCTCGAAGTGCACTTGCTGTGACGGTAGACTACGTTTTTCGTTATTCAGCTCCTCTCGTCCGTTTACGACGCGCATATAAAGATTATATTTTGTGATGACCCCATTCGGTTCGGTCGGTGGCAGCCACGACACATACAAAGACTGCGGTGTGCTAACGACCACTTTGATATCAGCCGGCGCTTCAGGCGCATCCTCTTCGGTGTGACAGTAGAGAGGATTGGAGAGTGCACCATCGCCCATGCGTGTATGTGCCAACACTTGAATGCTGTAGTTGCTGTACTTACGTAGTCCCGTCAACACGGTGGTCAGCGCGGTGGTCTTACGCGACTCGACCTCGTCCTTGTTGAGTGAGAAGTCATCGAGTATGGGCTCGAAAATGAGTTTATAACCCTGCAGTAAGCCATTAGTGTGATATATCGGTGGCGGTTGCCAGGAAACTTGCAACGATTGCGAGGTCAATGCAGCACAACGGATATCCTCAGGCGGCCGACTTGGCACTAGCACATTGAAATGAATTTGGTTTAAGGGAATGAAGTAAAATTAAAATTATTATAGTTAATAAATAAAATTTAAAGAGTGTAAATAACAACAACAAAAAAGAACAACAACTTACCATCCTCCATGGTCTGTGCCGATACAGGCTCTGAAAGCGGTCCGGGCCCAACTTGATTGAAAGCCTGCACAACTACATTGTAACGTGCGAATTTCTGTAGGCTACTCAGCAACAGCTCTCCAGTGCCACCATCACCGTCACCCGACACTGAAGTAAAGTTGTAAGCCGAGTTGCCCGAACTGGCCAGTTTGTAGCCAACATTGTAGCCTTGTATATCGCCATGGCGCAGCTCTACTAACGGCGCCAACCAACTAACGAGCAGCTCTGTAGACGACAACGGCCGCACGGAGAGATTTAGCGGCGGTCCGGCTGGCCGTTGTGGTTCAGTGCGTACCACCAATTCCTGACTCGGCGCACTGCGTCCGGCAGTACCTTCAGCGATCACGCGAAAAGAGTAGCGGGTTGCGGGTTTCAGATTTTCAATTAGTGCGGTATAGGTGGGTGGATCCTTGACCTCAACATGTTGCCATTGTTCGATGAAGAGTGCTAAGAAGAAAAAAAACAGAAAAAAAAACAAAAGATCAAATCGTATAAATTACAAATAACAATTTGGCTAATCATATTTATTTTGATTAATCGAAAGTTTTTAATATAAATTAATCCTGTTAATCACACATTTGTACGGTTTTAAATTAGCAATTCTGTGATTAACCGAACTAATTATTGCAATTTACTAATAAGGTGTATCGAAAATCTAGTTTAACTTAAAAAAGCATATTTTTATATTTAAAAATAAAAGATTATTTTTAAACAAAATAATTCGAACTAATTATTTAGTCGTCAATTACGTGGTTCAAATTATTTTCTTAAATAATGAAGCAATTATTGTATAATATAATAATCCATAAAGAGTAGATAAATCATCAACCTTTTTAATCAACTTAAAAAACGTTTTTTGTTTTGTAAAAATAAATCGAAATTAGTAAATTACATCAAGCAATTAGAAAACGAACTGTTAATTATTTTATGCGGTTCTCATTAAATAATTTAAATTCATTACCCAAAAAACAATCAAGTTCAAATTAATCAATGACTAATCGTTAATTATTACAAACTGTAGGTCCCTCCATTTGTTGGAAATCATCAAGATGCAAAACCACAAATTGGAGGAGGAGCCCGGCCGAAAGTCGATTCAGCGGTTACAAAGCGCCAATCGTATATACATAATCGTTAATTATTTAAACAGGTAATAATCAATTAATTCTGTTTCATTAAGTGAATTTTTATACAATAATTATGCATAAATATTGTTACTATAATTCAAAAATAAATATTTCTACGCATTTACATAAAAATTTCTCTACGCTAATCGGTCATACTCAGTTAGTCAATTAGAATTCAGTGGCTCATGAACTAGTCAAGGTTCAGCTAATCAAATAAACTTTATTAGTTAAGTTAACTGGTTTATCGGCTTTTCAAATATAAATTAATTAATGACTTATTGCTATTAATTAAATCAGCATAACTTCTATTCAAGTCACACTTTTTTTAGCATCATACTATGTCTTTATCAACTTACGGTCCATTTCCTTGAATTCCACAATATATTTCGAGATATCGGCTGTGTTCATTGTCTTCGGCTGCCATTTCAAATTCACCGAGCGACTCGAAATCATCGCCGCCTCCAAAACAGTGGGCGGTTGTGGCGGCTCCTGTACCTGCAGTTGCACTAATTGCTGATCATTGCCATAGAGATTGCTGGCGCGGCAGAAATACGGCCCACTATCGCTCGCGTCCACCATGCGTATTTGCAGCTCAGCAGAAACACCATCGGGCGTGGCCTCTTGCTTCACCGAAATTCTGCAAATGACACAAATGGGAAATGTAGCGAAAAAATGTTCAACTCATCACCGTGATGCGGGGGCAGCAAAATGCTCCTGTGGGAAATTTGCGGGATACTAAATTAAAGTACTGATAGAATTAATGTTGATACGATGGGGAAAAGATTAATGAACAAGTCGAAGGAGACGAAGAAGAGGAAGTGGATTGTGGGGAGATAGTGGATAGGTGGAGAATGGTGGAAAGTGGTTTTGATGGTAAGGTGATGTTGAATTTGATGCAGAGGTCGCTTGTGTGACGACTGTTCGTGTCCCTCTCGACCTACTTGTAATTTGTTGATGGATTCAGTGTGTTCTTGCCCGAACGCATCCAAACGATATTAATGGGTTTGTCACCGCTGACGGAGCATTGCAGAAGTGCTGTATCACCTTTTTTCACCATTACCGAGCGTGAAGTGGATGAGAAGTACGGCGATGCTGGATGTCATTAAAAATGTTGTAAATAAATAAAAAACACACACGCAAATATGAGATATACATATATACAAATAAGTATAAGTAAATTTAATATAAATTTCGAGTGGTGAATTGAGGCGGGAAAAATCAAAAGTTTATAAAGTAAATGGTTGTTGTTAATGCTGTTTGCTTGTATGAAAGGATATCAAAAATATGTCGACACACACACATACACACAAAGTTCAATTAAAATAATTTCACCTCTGGGTATTTAATTAATGCCTTTAGCTGCAGCCAATATTTATATCGATATATATTTACATACATACTCATATCTATATTCAATAATTTCCACAACATTTACACATAATCTCGCATATCGGTAGGATTTCACTGTTTATTTACCCGCAGCATGCTTTTAGCTATCACTTACAGTTCACTTTTAATTGTATCACTTTTCCCATGCCTGTGCCGATGCCGTTATTCGCTTGGCATAGATAAAAGCCTTCACGATCCTCCTTAACGTGTTGCAGCAGCAGTGATCCGTTAGTTAGTAGTTTGGTAAAAGGCCGCTCACGCACTTCTTCATATTCGCCGGACTTACTGCCTATAATTGAAGTGAAGAAAAACAAATTGCTTGACACAAAACTGTTAAATAAAAAATACAAGTAATTTTTAACCTTAATAGAAATTACAGTTGCATCAATAAATACAATAAAATTATATTCGCTAAAAGTAAAATATGATGGAGATGCTGATAACCATTTATCAAAAAAAAAAATTTGAGTTTGTATTTTTATATATATATATATATAGTGTGTACATCTATATCGAGCATTTAGCAATTTTTTAAAATTAATATCGATTTTCATTGATGCATTGCCTGTTCTTTGTTCTTTGAATTTCATATGAAAAATACACTCAGTGTTCTTGAAATTCCCTACCGAGGCCGCCAATTTTAATATAGGATTGAAAATTGTTAGCCAGATGGCGTTAAAGCAAAGTCCTCACCCGACTAACAAAGACCTATCATTATAAGTCGCTCACAAATCCTGACCTGAGACAGGCTAAAGAACATTCAGTGAGTCAGTAAAAGGTTTCGGATATAAATTATGAACTCTCGCGTAATGGTGACAACGAAATACCATAAACAATGAAACGAAACCAACACCAGCACTACAATGTTGAAAGTACGTGTATTCTGTGTTCTCGAACAATTTATTGACAAGCGAATGATAATGTCACCATGTCCAGTTATGTGACACGATAATAATGTGTAGTCTTGCACAGAAACTGGTTTAAAGATTTCATGATGCATAAAATCTGCCTAATTTTGCCTACAATGGATGTAGTGGATACACCACGCAGCTATTGAATAATAAATAACAAAATAAAGTCGTCAATAGAAGGAAGTTCTATACAAATTATTTATCTGAAGAAGAATGGTTGTTCGGCGCCTGACTCTTCACTCTATGTCTTAACAAAGTAGTTGGAAACTGGCGAATCTGCATCTGAAGCGGCGATTAGTTACATATCGGCAATAGCCGAGTACTTTGCAGTGTGTAGTACAGTTGGGAAGGAGCGGTTTCGAGTTCTCGAAAACTAAATTTCTAAATGCGGTCACTCAACAATTAAAATATAAGCCTTTTAGAAAAATCCATCAACTGATAGGAAGCGGCGCTTAGAATAAACTACAAACTTTTGTTGGAAATTACGAAGACGCACACAATTATATTATATACATACTCGTATATGGGCAAAATGTCGAATAACTGTGCTGTTGACCTCAAGTCAACCAACTGCAACTAAACAGGGTTATAACCGCGAAACTGCAAGGATATCAATTACACTCTGAGTGACTGATTTTCCGGGATGTGGACCTGGGACCGAACTATTCAATAAATCGAAATTTTAAAAACACGTTCTATATTTCCCAAATTAACGAATACCCCTAATGCATGATGGGTTATGGCATTAGTAATATCGTCAACATCTCCAAAGTATACCAAACTTACAACGATTTCTTGGAAAGTTTTGAACTTTCAAGCTGTGAGAACAGTGGATAAGAATTTCATTTTTGTCTGTTAAAATTTAATTTTTATACGCCTAAAATTGTTAAGGATTAAATTATAATATTTATATAGTTCTCTAAGTTCCTCTGAATTACTCGAACAAAATTTAAATTATTGACTTATTCTTTGCATTTCATTTTTAGCAATTTCTTATTGGTTTTGTCAACAATAAAAAGAAAAATGTTCATTAATTAATGTGAAAATCAAGTATCTGTGGAAAGTATTCATGTAAATTAACCGACCGAAATTGAACAAAGTTGAAACACGTTCAAAGAGAATGTTTTATATACATGCTCGTAGATACATCATTCTCAGCTGATATTGACAGCGTTTATTCCCGCTCCCTCACTCCACTTACCTGTAGCCTTCTTCCAAACAATGCTCGGCGTAGGCACACCCTGCGCCTGACAGTGCAACATGATGTGTCGGTTGCGTTCCACATTCGCATCGGTCGGTTCAACAATCCAACGTGGCGGCACTGCAGCGCACAACATCATCCCGAGCGAGAATGGGAGAGAGAGAAGCAATAATAAAAAAAAAATTGTTGGCAATTAAATGAAATGCATGAGTTCGGATCGATAATGCAATAAATCAGAATTAAATTGAAACGAAACGTTTTGGGTTGGAATTTGTTGTATTGTCATATGCGTATACATACAGACATACAAGCAAACAAACAAAAATAATAGTACATACAAACAAATAAACTGTAGAAACAAATTTATAGTGAATTTTATTTCAATTATTTTTTTCTGAAAAATCAAACATTTAATTACGGCATTTAAATTTTTTGTGTTTTTTTTTTTTTTATTAATTTAATATTGAAAATAACAAAACTATTAAATAAAAAAAAATAAAAATTGATAAAGTGAAATAGAGACAGCCAGTAAATTCAATAGAGGATAAAGTATGGTTGTAAGTACGAGTATATAGTAGCTTAAGTTTGTAGAGGAAATTTGAAAAAATTGTAAGAATCATTTACAGTTAATTGAAGTATAATAAAAGTGAACTAAAACACTACTTAGTTGAAGGTATTTCATATGTACGTATTTTTAAATTGGAAATATTTGAAACGAACTTTGAGAAAATGTTCATCACTAAAATTATGTCAATAAAGTAATATTATTTATATATATAAAACAAAGTACGTTCTTGGTAAAAATTAAAGTAAAATAAAATGTATTTTTATAACTTTAATTGAAATTGTTTATGCAACAAAATTCATGAAAACGTAATTAACGGAAAATTGTAAGATTTATCAATATTTTCAGTTTATGCTTCACCTTATTGTTATTTAATATTCAATTTTGCCAATAAAATAGTCTCAAGATATAATGCTTATGAAATTCCTTACCGAATAAGGCAACTTAACATACTGTGTGTGCAAAGATTTTCCTCAAAATTACCTTTGAAAGATAATTTACTCTTTGTACTAAAGATTTTTTATAAAAAAAATTGTAGTATTTTTTAAGATATTTTTATGCAAAAAACAACTTTCAATTCAATATAAAAACTTTGTTATTACGTAGCAATAATAATGGCTATTGAGCATGTATTTACATCAGCTTTATTTTAACGCTCTGAAAGTATAGTTTTCTACAGTAGAATAGTTGTCAAATATTTTTAGTCACTTCCATGGCTTTATCAAACATAAAAAACTTTTAAACATACTAAAACCAAGAGACGAACCAAATTAATGCGTATTAAGAAGCACAGCAACGTTGTAAACTTCATACTGACTAACGGCAACCTTGACTTCGGTATTCCGTGGGTGAAAAAAAATTTAATCTGAGATTTTTTTTGGATATTTAACTATCTTTAGTGAATTTTATACTCTCCTTAGTTATGGTTTTACTAGTATTAGGTGCTTTCACTCGTGAGCTTTTTGCTACTTTTCTTGTTTTCCTTTTCCTTTTAAAATTCATTTTTTCATCTTCTATCAAATAGACGTTAAATGATGTCAAATTTGAGAGTAAATGCGCATTAAAACTATATTTGCCAACACCATAATGCTCAAGCATTTGTGTCTAGAATTCATATTGAACTTTTAACGATTCGTTCTCTCAATAAATACTATTCAGGCAAGTTTGTCAGCAACATTATGCAAGGGTTAATGCAGCTAAATTGTCAATGTTATTTTTTAGTGCTTTAATAAACTTGTAAATCATCGACCCAACGGTAAATGCATATTAAGGCAATTAACGCACCTTAAAGTTACATCTGTCAGTAACAAAATGCACTAGATAATGCAGCTAAGTTTCTAATATTGTGCGGAAATAATTCTTCTGTGTTTCGGTGTACAGTTACGTAAATGCACGTTATCACTGCTCTTGGCCTCTCGAGATTCATAAATATACTTATTGTATTTAATACCTTTGTGACTTCATTTTATGTATTTATGTTAGTATATCAGTTTAAATTAGGATGTATTTCAAAACTACTAAAAATTAACAGATGCAATGTCCTAAAGCAGCAATATATTTAAGTAGTATTTTTAATGTGGTTTATTTATTTTATGGTTACACTGATAAATAAAAATATAACAGCTGCTAAATGCAGTATTTATCCATACTAAAGCTGTCGTCCGCCGTAGGCATAATGCATGTGGTAATAAATATTATTGACAAATGGTTAAAAAAACATTCGTTTACTCATTGTATACTTCTTTAACAAAATTTCACTCGTGTCTCCAATATCATTTGATTTTCAACGTACCAAAAAGTTGCTGAATATGGCTCTAATGCCGCCCAGTAATGCCCATAAGGTGACAATTCTTAACAAATTTATCGGGAAATTTTCAAAAATAATAAACCCTGATTATATAATTTTTAGCATAGAAAGATGATTACCTGTTGACTGACTTGGCGTTTAGTAGTTGCGTTCAGATTAGCTAATAAAATTTTAATTCATGGTTTAAATTTATTTTTCTCTTCTTTTTTTTCTCCTTTCTATTGAATAAACTTAAACTACAATTTCCTTAAATTTCATTTATATGTGATCTGTGGCGTAAGTACACGTTCACTCTAACAAAACCTTCGCTATTGTGTGGGTGAGTTGGATGGATAAGCGGGGAATTAAGTTATGCACATGCAAAGGAATTTTTTTTTTTTTTCAATTTTTCATTAAAAGTCCAATAAATAAATTTTTACGAATATATGTATGAACGTAAGCGTTTCATATTGGCCGTGAATGTCGAATAGAACAGAAAAAAAATCCGAATTGATCACCATCGTAACGCTGCAAATAAAAGATACATAAATGTTAGCTTAAATGCACACAAATAAATGCTTCAAAATATATATATATACAAATGTATTTGTTTTCATTGAAAAATCATAGTATGTATGCACTATATATTATACTATATAGCAAGTAAAAAAAACTACACGCTTCGGACTCGCTGCAATAGAATATGACAATAATTTATGAGACGAAAAAGAGCTTCGCTCCTCAATCAATGCCAGCAGCAAAAATGCAGAACACAACAGCAATACAAAACTATTGCAGTTGTACTATGTTATGTGCGCAGAAGGGTACATGAGAATTTTTAATTTTTTTTTTTTTTTTTTTTTTTGATTTAATAAAACAACAAATAAAGTAATTATTGAAGCATTTAGTTATGTCCGAGCAACTTTGCGTGGCTACAAAAGCGTTCAATTGCGCAAAAAATAATTAAAAGCTTAAAAGAAACTAAAAAAGCTTGGCAAACAGGGATGAGGTTATTTTAAATAACGAACAAAATAATTTTTATATAAAAAAATATGTGGGAAAATTTAGAAAAAAGTGTCATCGTGAGCGTAAACTCATGAAAAATATGTATGATTCAATGAGGGGGAGTAAAGCTTTCGGGTTGTATATTTGTTTTTTATAATTTTTTTTTTAATTTTAATTTTGTCATATTTTCTAATGTTCCAAAATTTGGTATCGCAGGAGGTTTCGCAAAAAAAAAATCATTGCACACAACAGCTTTAAAACATAATTTTTTTTCTGTAGATTTTTCTGGTTTATAGTTTTTAGCGGGATTTTGAAAGTAACAGAAAAATAGTATATATGTATAATATATTCAAACCAAAAACAATAGAAAGCGTAAAAAGCATAGAAAGCAAAGCAAAGCACGCAAATCTGCTTTATAAATATATAAATTATATTTACCTTCTCTGAAATCAAAATTAAGTTTATAAGAAGCAAATTTAGTGTAAAAGCAATAACAAGCAGCGAAATGCGTATATTAGTTATTAAAAACTGTTTATACAAGCAGCAAGCAGGGAGTTGTACAAGTGTGTTGGGCAAGTATATTGTCCAAGTGAGTTGGGCAACTATGTTGTACAAGTATTTCACTGAATGAACTGTATCTTGAATTGAATCTTCAATTTTTATGTGATTCTACTACAAACTGAGAAACGGCACTTGGAAACTAATAAATCCGTTCATATTCGCCAAAAGTCGCGCTTAAAACCAAAAAAAAAAAAACAAAGATATAAAAATAAATAAAAATCGAGTTTTTATTTCAATAACATTTGAATAAATATTTTTAATATATCTTTACCGCGCTTTATTAATAAAGTATTAAAAATTTTTAGTAATAATTAATGAAAATGAAATAAAAAATTCGAATCAAATTTTTCGATTCTGCATTTGTCATCACTTGTACAAATGTTCTCCTATTTTTCATGTGTATGTGTGGCTTTATGTAAAACTTACATTATATATTTTGCATGCATATTTTTGAGAGCATTTTTCATTCGAACTAAAATAAATAAATCTCACTGCACAAATGGAAAAGTGACGCAATAGAAACACAACACTACCGAGGTGAGCGGGTCATACAAAAGCTAAAAGAAAAACGACAAAACTAAGCATACAAACATACATTCATACAATTGTATGTAAAAATGTATGGATAATAGTATATAACATTACAAATACTGCGAAGCTTTAAATCATAAATAAATACAGCGCAACAAATGTCGGTTAGTTCACCGCAAAATTCAAGCAGGATGTATACCAGCAAGTTGTTAGTAAGCATTAATTCCTATATTTTGCTGTTGCTGTTGCTTGAGTATAGTTGTTAACTGTCAGCACAGCGCGACACGATGGCAGCCATATATGTATGCGTGTGAATTTCCAAAATATTCATGTATGTATATATGTAAATTAAAAAGCACAGTATATATATACACAGCATCGCTTTTAGTTGTCGCATAGCATACATAGCGTAGCACAGTAAGTCGTGTAACAAAAAGCATGGATTAAAAATGATACGAAAGTCCTTTTTAGAATCTTTTAATTTTGATTTTTATTTATTTATTTATTTTTATTTTTTTTTTATATTTATGTAACGTGTTCTTTTGCGAGGTTTTAAGTAAAAAGCAGATAGAAAGTATGCGAGTAGAGAGCTTAACAAGCTGCGTATAGGAGCGGATTGAGCGGGTACAGCGGTAGCGCAGGCATGTACAGGCGATTAACTCAAAGGAGCGCCACGAAGTTATACGATGTTTTTACATGTACGTTTGTATGTGCGTGTTAAACAGCTGATTGCGAGTAGCTGTTTCATGTTGTAATTCGACTTTGATTTAAGCTAAACTAAATTGCGGTAACTTTATTTTAGTAGTGAATGTAATTACGATTGAAATTAAAACTAATTGTTTCAATAAAAATGGGATTTTAATATAAAGACACTTTTTTTTAAATATAATTTATCATAATATTGTCAAAGCTTCCTATCACCAGTGCTTGTGGTAATCTATTGTTCATTATTTTATTCCTTTCCATGTTATGATTTAATCACTTTTACCAATTTGAATCACATTTACATTCACTACAAGGAAATAGCAATAATTTTGTTTACAAATATATAAATATATCGGTATAGATTATAAATTTATAAATAATAAACAATGCATTTGAAATAAAAAATTCTAAGAAGCGTTAGAAGCAGTGCAACAGTTAGGTTACCTGGTGATCTGCCGTACAAAAAACCCACAGCGTGCCAAAGCGACTTGAGGATGGTTATAATTGGTTAAAAATGTAGGAATATCAAGGGAAGTTTTGAAATTTCAGTTGTTGTTGTTTATAGATATACACCTGTATGTATGTACTTGATAACAATCTCTTTGTAGTTTACCACTTTTTACCTAACTCTTTTATACTTTTTTTTTCAAAAATTCATTTGACTTGAAAGGAATCTAATTTTATAATTAATTGTTTGCCTATTATTATTATTATAATTTTTTTTTTTTTTAAATTAAGAAATATTAATATCTATTTTCATAAATATATATATTTTAATAAAATAAAAAAATTTTTTATTCTCTATATTATTAATAAAAACTAAAATTCATAAAAAGCGGCTTTTTTAATAAAAAATTAAAATTAAAAGTTACAAAATTATTCGTTATGTTTAAGCTTTTGTTTTTACTGAAATCGTTTTTTTTTTTTCATTACTTATAAGTTTATGTAATATTAGTGTTTGTTTTTAAGTGTTGCTTGTTGTGGAGTACTGCGGTGTGTGCTTAGTTGTATACATATACATATAATATTGATAATGTATGTAGAAATGTGTGTGTGTGTGTTTGTGCATTTCTATTGTTAAATAATAGTATAAACTGTTATTTATTGCTATGTTTTGAAATTATTTTTAATTGGAAAAAATTTCATCAAAAGTCTTTTACACTACATATAAAATTCGTCTCATCTAAGCATTTTCCGAACGCCCTTCGCATAAAATTTTTGCATTGAAATGTGGCTACATAATTATGTAATCGACGGATCGATAATAACCTTGCAGGAGACAAAGTTAAAGTTTTTACAGCTTACAGTGATGTTTCGTCGATCATTCCGACATTTTTAATTAATGCGATACTTGCATATTTAAGTCTTCTTCTCTTAAAGCAAATTATTCACCATTAATCTTTCAGCAGACCCAATGTAGAGGCGTTGTTTGCCTTGAAATCTATTGGATTCCACTTACGAAAAAGGACTTCCTTCCACCTAGAAGCAATACCAAAATCATACCTGCGTGTTGCACGACTGAATCCGCGCAGAAAACGCTAATCTGAGTTAATTTGCAGATAGGGCTGATAGCTTTTGAATTGCATTTCACTAAAAGAGAAATACTTTCCGCAGTTGCATAATAGTTTCACCCAAAGCCTACAGCGTAACGATAAATTTCAAGTTAAATGAAAGACGTTAACTTCATTTCGTTTTTACGCGAAAGGAGAAGCTTCCGTAAACGTTGAATCATAGCTAGCAGCCATTATAGAATTAACGCCATTAAACATTAACAATTCCATTTCGTTGCGATAACATGGCGCCGCACAGTGGGGCAAAAGTGCTCTACACTTGTGCATTAGAGCAAAAGTTAAAATAACTGGCAGGACATTTTTTTTTTTTTCCTTTTTTACATACACCAAGCCATCAGAAAAGTTTTATCGCCATAAAATTGAGAAAATTTTTCAAGAGCTTTGACCGCTCAAAGTTGAGATATCTAAGTTGAACTTTTCAATTTTAAAAATTGTTTAAATGATGTCTGCCCAGAAATGTATATAGAAATGCACGTGTTAATATCTTTTTCAAGGGTTTTTTATTTTAGAAATTATAAGCGGTCGAACTTCTTAGAAAAAAATTTCCATTTTTGGAAAAAATAACAATTTTCTTGGGATCATAACTTTTTTTACTCATCGCAGATCAACAAAACGCTTCAATCCAATTAATTACAAGCTTTAGTACAGCAAATGATGCCAAACTTATTTGCAGTGAAAGATTTTAATTTGAACATATGACAATGACAGCATAAACAAACCTATGCGCGTGTTTTAAGCACTTCGGTTTTACTCAATAGGATGGCTAGAGGAAACAGTTAACGACGAAGAGGCCTCCGCTCCGGCAACGGAAATGTTACTGAACAGTTACTCTGCCCTCGACAAAATTCATAATGTATTGGTGGTCACTATTTACCTTCGCATTTAGAAGAGAGGGAAAATTTCGTGACTCCCCTGGTTACTTAGTGCAAGGTGGTACCAGTAAATACCATTTCGCCGTATGTGATTTTATTTGTAGTTTGTGTTTGTGGTTTACAGAACATTTTAGCTGCTATAAATGTTGTGTTGTAGAGGAATTTCTCCATCAGTTGGCGTTTCAAGGAACGGTCTTTATAGTACTTATTTTCAATGTTGTGAAAATATTTAGCCAGGGAACTCAGCAAATTGAGTTTACCAAAAATATAATCCAATTCAATATGGTTACGAGAAATTGGAACTTTTGATGAAATTTTTTATTAAGTGTGTACTTAGTATTATTATGAACAATGTAAATATTTTGTTTGTGTTTGTGAGATTTTTTTTATTAATAAATATTAAATAATATAATATAATGTATTTCACTCTAACTAAAAATATTTTTAAATCAAAATTTATTTTTACCATTCTATTTAACAACAAAAAAAGAATATTTTTCATTTAATTGCCTCGGACAGAATATAGACATTTATGTATTTCCTGAGACTTTTGTCGTTTAAGGCACCACCATCATACTATACCTTTAACCTGCAAGACAGCAGTGTATTTAATTTCGGCAGCTGGATTCGTAGCCACGCATGTATATTCGCCTGTGTGGGTTGCCGACAATGAGGGTATACTCAACAACGACGAATATTGATCGAGCATTGTGACATTTGCGCCCAGCAATTCGGGCAAAGGCTCGCCATCTTTGAGCCAGATCAATTTGAGCGGTGGATCACCACGCGACACGCCACAAACGGTGCGCGTGCGCATACCCTCGGCAAGGCCATCTTGGAAGACGAACGGTTCTATTATGGGTGGGACTGCAATAATATATAAGAATAGCAATTATGTAAATGAAAAGATATAATCAAATATTTTATAAACATTATAGGCGTATGTCGGATGGGGTGAAAGTGGAATTACACCAGCGCTGAATGTAAAAATTTGCGTTACCAACGTTGCTAATAATGTTGTTGTTAATTGATTCGCTGTTTGTAGATTTCGATGCTTAGCTGAAAATTTAATCTTAATTTGCATATGTATTTGAGTATAGAAATAAAATTTCAAATAAAAAATTAAACCTTCGCAGTTTTGAATTTTTGTTTAATCTACAATTAATAACGCTACAAATTGAAAGCATTCCAAAGAGGAAAAAATTGTTTGTTTTCAAAAAATGTTTAAAGTAAAATAATTTTTCATACTTTAATTTCACTAAAAAATGCCCATTTTATATTAGTATACTTTGGCATGTAATAAGGGAACTGCATACTACGAACTCAAAAAAAGATTACATATTTTGTTACAATAAATATATATATATTTTAATTTGAATAAATACATATAATATATATTTCAACACAAAATGCATTCCCTAAACATAATTTCATCTTTTCATATATATACGAAACGGGCAAAATCAAACGTTCGTACAAATATATTACTACGGTATTTAAGTATATAAATAACTGTACATATATTATGTAAACAAATAAATTGTATATATAATTTTATATGCTGTACAATTACAACCATAACCATATGGTTGTAAAAATCAAAAATCAATTGCACAAAATATGTTTAAAAAAATATGTATAAAATTAATAAAAAAAAAATTAAAAATAACGAAAAAAAATTCTTCACACTTTTCCTCGCATCATCATCTGTTTACCATTGACGAGCAAAGCTTGCGAGTTCTCCACTTCCGCCGCTGAATTTCGCACGACACACGAATAATTGCCAGTGTGATCCGAACCCAGGGTTTCTATAACCAAAATGCTATTGTACTGGTCCACCTGCTTCACGGACATATGCTGTATGGGATCGATGGGTCTGTTATCCTTGCGCCAGGAGATGGTCAGCGGCAGATCGCCCTTCACCACCGAACAAGTGAGTGATGCGCGATCACCCATATTTAGCTGTAGAATGGACGTCTGAAAGGGACTCAATTTGGGTGGAACTATTTTGGGAATTCGTAGGAAAAATTCGTTGGGAGAAGCGGATTGTAGGAAGACGATTAGAAATTTAATATGCTATATTATAATATAAGACTGATTGTATATGCAATAAAAATTGTGTAAAATGTTTAATATATAAATACTCTTATATTAACGAAAGCACAGTCATTTTACAATTTTTCAGGTGAACTGAATATTTATACATATGTATATATAATTAAGATTAAAAATTCTTACGAAAATAACACTAAATAGAAAATATTTTTTCCCAAAGATTCATTATAGGAAAAGATTCGATATCATTACTGTAATAAAAAAAATTAATTGCTTTGCTTCTCATCAGTTCTAATCTAATTAACCCTTTTTTGAACGACTTCAATTTGTTTATTTTGCTTACTTTTCGGCATATTTTCTTGCTTTCGAAATGACTTTTATTTTAGGTCACCTCGTCAGTGTTAATTAATGAATAGATTAAATGTGAAAAGAAAATGTTTCCTATGAGACTTTTCGTGCTTTATGAGAAGCAAAATGAAATTTCTCTTTTGATTTGCAGCTTTTGGTTGTTGTTGGTGGCTGAGTGGGAGTGCGAATAAAGCAGTAAAATTTTATTTTTCATTTATAGTTGGCAAAAGTTTTGTTAATTTTTATCTCTAATTAAAGTAAGGAAATACGCTTATGGAAATAGATTAATATGTTTGAATTTAAATAATTTAACTTATTTTGTTTCAATTAATTTTATTTTATATAAATTAATTTCACTTAATTTACTTTTAATTTTATTTTAATATATTTTTTTATTAATTTTATTCCAATTTTTTTTTGTTTAATTTAACTTAACATAATTTGTTTCAATTTTTATTAATTTAATAATTTATATAATTTTGTTATATTTAATATTTTTAATGCTTTAAATACTTTTTTCATTTTTTAATTATATTTAACATTTTAGCAGCAGAAACTGAATTTCATTTTGTTTAAATTTATTTTATATAATTTAGCTTTATTTTACTTAATTGCATTTTTTTTAAATTATATTTTTTTGAATCTTTTATTTTTTATACTCATTTAGTTCATTTTTTCCTTTTTTCAATTTAAAATGTTTTATTATTTAAACTGAGGCATAATCGGAAGAATTTTGTCACATTTATAAGCTCAGTAGAACGTTAAATGTGTATGTATTAACCGCTAATTTGTTAAAACACATAACTAAACACAACACTTCAGACAACCAACCGTTCACATGAAACGCGCACAGGCGTGCATATATGCATATGTATGCATGTACATCTGGCATCAAAGCGGGGTTGTGTTACTGGAATATGAGGAGAGATGCATATACATATATGGAACTCTTGTGAAGTAGCGGCAGAGTAAATATTGAAAACCTCAAAAACCAAAAGGCTAATGAGGTACAAATCCACAGTCATATTTATTTATTTTCATGAAGGAACTTTCAAACGTACACACGTACACACGTATTAATGTGTGCATGACTGTTAATGGGAAAGAATCCCTAAAGTACTAACAGCGCCAGCAAGTATTACATATGCATATACGACTAAACATATTTAAATTAATCGTTAAAAATGTAGCACCGAGTACAACAAAATATTATACATACATACGAGAATGTATGCACATCATTCCTGTTCGTATTCATAACAGAGATGCCACAAGGGCCTAATTTGTCCAGAGTTGCAAAAAATGTGCGGAATGAGTGGTGCATAAATTCAAGAAAATGTATTTTCACCGCATCCTAAGATACACAGTCAGACTAACATATATATATATATATATATATATATATATATATATATATATATATACATGTATGTGTCTTAGGGTATGCCATGATATATAGTGAAAACAAAATTTCTTGAACTTTTTCACGCCGTGATATATCGTCGTTATACCTACTAGATTTTTGATAGTTTAAAAATAAATAAAAATTTATTAAATTTACCCGTTTTAAAGTAGGTTAGCAAAAGTTGAAATCAAGTAAAAACTTTAGTTCTATACGCTGTAACATAAAATATTCAATCAAAATGTTTTTCGCATTAAACTTAATTTTCGAGAAAGTCTTATTTTAGGCCAAGCAGCCGAACTCGCAACAAAATTTTCCACATCTTTCTTTAATAACAGCATAATACCAAAAAGGAAGCAGAACCTCATTTCAGTATCATTTCTACATGCTCTCCTACTCGAATATGGCAATGAATATTATTTGTGCTCTTTATGCAATAAAGTTTTTGATCCCTTTCACCATTAAAAAATAAAGCTTCTAAGCTTTGATGTTTTTTTGAGTTTCTTAAATAATTACAGATGATATCTGTTCTCACACCACATTAGTTAAAGCAGCACAAGTTACCGCAGCACCATAAAGATAGCACAAATCCGATAACTTTTCCAAATTTGAGAGCGCAGTAATCTTCTTCTCTACAAAGTGCCATTTCAGCGTCAGAATCAGACAGATCAACGGAAGCTATACGAACGGACGCAGCCTCAAATGTTTTTTTCTTTCGTACTCGTAAGACTGTTGTTATGAAAAAAAGTTCAAAAAGCCTATCAAGGCGTGTTAACATTGTTATAAATATTTCAAATAAGGTAAGTGCATGAACGTAACAAAAATGCTTAATTGTAATGTTTCGTTTTAATAGGTGCTTCATGGTGTTGGAGCCATCCAAAGATGTGGTTATATATAAAAAGCTTAAATGCTGTTGCTACTTTTATCATCATTCTCTTATTATCATTGTGTGTATGTGTATTGTGGTTATACTGCGCAAAAACTAGAAAGACGTGTAAAATGAGTCACCCTAATGTACAAATATCATATGAGGAAGCCATTTAAAGGCGCAAAAATTTCTTTGTTGCTGTCTCGAAAATAAACATGTGGAAAATATGCTGGGGCATGTAATTTGCCACAACGCAGGTGAGTCGTAAGAGCATGGGAACGCCCTATAGGACATTAAGGCATTTAATTTATTTTCTTACTTTTATTTGATATTATTCTATTTGATTCTAATTTTTTATCAATTTTTTTATTTAATTTAATTAATTTCAAATTATATGAAGTTATTTAATATTATTTTATCTAATTAAATTTAATTTTATCTTATTTTATTTGTTTGTCATTTTTTCATTTTATTTTGTTTATTATAGTTAATTTTATTTCTTTATTTTTTTATTTATTTTTTTATTATTTATATTTATTTATTATATTTTATTTTTACGTTATATTAAATTATTTACATTCATTTAAGTTAGTTTCATTTTATTTTGTTTTATCATTCTTAATTATTTCAATTGGAAGCCTTGAATTATATTTATATTCGTCGTCCAAGGTGTTCCACATAACTGGATTCCATACGTCCATATCGGTTTCATTGTTGCACTATATAAGAGGACTTTGTTGCTAAGGCTAAGTCCAGACTTCTTGTTTAAAAGCCAATGTAAGTTGCGAGGTTTTAAGTGGAAATGTATCGTCTTACGGTTAAGCGTCTTTCTAAGTCATTTCGTTAGCTTGCTAATAATAAATACATTTTGGGGCATGTTTTTGGTCTTAGCGAACAAACCTATTTAAATTAATTTAATTTAAATTATTAGGTTTTTTTGTATTAAATCAAATTTTTTATAGTATTTTATATAATTTACTTTCGTTTTTCGAAAAAAAATTCCGTTTGGGATATTTTAAGCATAATTGCATACATACATATTTACAAATATGTTAAAAGTCGTACAAATAGACATAAATAATTTTTGCAGAAGCACCCACTTCACCACACAGGAACGTGTCTGGAGGGACAGCACAAATTTACATATATACATAGCTTCACTTATAAATGTTGCCTTTTCTAACCCACCGCTTATAATTCTTCTTTCACCCATTTATTTATGTACCTAGATACTCGTACATGTATTAGTACGAGTTGATTAAAAAATGCCAAGGAAAATGAAAAAATTCGGAGATTCGTGGTGTGCTTTTACATTTGTATTTGTGTAGAAGCCAAAGTATGTCGTCGCACACAAACTCCACTCATCTCTAGATACTCAACTAAGTGGCAAAGTTGGTGTGTGGGTGTCAGTGTATGGAGCAACCCCAAAAGTGCAATCAACGCATGGTGAAAGGTGTGTGAGTGAGTCAAGTGTTGTCAAAGCACTCATTTGGGATATTGCTGACACTGATTGTGGCAAATATAAATCGAATTTCGGAAAAAAAATCTACACTACTACTGCAATCAGTGAACGATTCAAAGAACTTTCAATTTGGCAAATCTCATTTCTTATTTTCCATGTATTCATGCCGAGATATATTTTGAAATATTCTGCAAATGTCAATCCCAAATAAATGAAAAATATTATATGTATTTATTGAAGTCAATAAAAAATAAAACTTCAGAGCAATAAAGACTTTCAAAAAAATATTTACTTAATTAGTACACCACCAACCGGCACTATGTCGTTAACGGCATAGAAAAAACGAATTATGGCCAAAGCGTAATAAGCGATGGCATAAGAATTGGTATTAAAGTTTGTTGTCAAAAAATTCTCTAGAAAATTAAATATATGTATATTTCCGACACAAGATACTTTTATCAAATGCTACCAAATGCTACAAGGTTTACTCGGGTACCTTGAAAACAGCTTCGCATTTATAAATATTTTTTACTTAATTTAATTTGATTTAACTTAATTTATTGAGTCTATATATTATTTTATTTAGTTTAGTTCGCTTATTTTATTTTATTCTAATATTATTTTATTTTATTTCCTTTCTTTTGTTTTCTCTCGCATCTTTTCTTTGCTTTAATCTGTTTCATTTTCAAAATATTCCCCAATATTGCGTCTGAGCGCATTTTGCAGACCACCGTATAAAGGAACGACATAGTTTTGAGGAATTACAAAACTGAATTGCCCACAGCATTGAACGAAATGCTTGAAACTTTACTAATAAAACTAAAAGTGATTCCGAGTATTACATATTTATAATTCTGGAAAGTTTTTCAACTGCGAAACAATAAAAATTTTACAAGAGTCTAATTCTTCTTCATTTTTTATTGTTTTCGAAACAAGTCAGCTACACCTCTTCATACTCAAATTGAGCTCCAATGCTGCCATCCCGCTATCCGTATATCTGTTGTTGTTGCTGTGAGTATATTTGGTGGAGTTTGCTGCCTTTTAAGCAACCACAAAAACTTTACAACACTTCCTTCTTCGTTTCGGAATAATGATCTATTTACATACATACATATCTCTTGAAGGGCAGAAATGCAACTTAGTAGCAACGAAACGTTAGCAACAGTATATAAAGCAATCACAAGTTTCGCAATGATAAGTGCCTATTCGCTATCATCTTAATTTCAAAACTCAACTCAAGTCATAATAAAGTTCGGCAATAAAGTGGGCAAGTCAAAATTCTTGGCATAAGAAAAGTTAGTTTGCTAATTTTTGATGGATTTTGGCCACTGTTGATGCAATGGAAGACAAAAACCTGTGGGGTATAATTAATATATAGCTAACAGTAATTAAAATTTTTCCATAATTTAAGCATAAATATTTATTAAGCGAATATAAAAATAAAATTAAATATAAAATATCAAATAATTTCAAATAAAATAAAGAATTTTCCAATAAAAGGTGATATTTTGAATAGTTTGTTCTTCCGGCGGATGCCACTTTTGATGCCGTAGCTTTTTGTCATTTGACAAGTAAAATCTACGTCAGGAATGCACGATACATACGATCCGATACACGCATTTAACGGTTCGTAAAACTAAAACATTTTTCGGTCATCGTGAGCCACCTCGTCGGACCGCAATATAGAAGTTGGTGGCAGAAATGGAGCTGTTGGGACAAGTTAGTCGAAGCTCAAGCACAACTGAGAATCATGCCGCTATAGCCGAAAGTGTTGTCCATTCATCGTCATTCTCTGGAATTGCGCAATTCACAAACGTCATTACACTGCATTTTGCAAATAGATTTCGGTCATAAGGCTTGTAAAATTAAGTTAACACAAGAACTCAAGTCGGCCGGTCATCAACAACGTCGTGTCTTTGCTTATGGTGTCCTTGAAACGCATGAAAAAAATCCTGAATTTCATCGAAAAATCATCTTGACTCATGAGGCTCATTTCCACATCGATAAGAAAGCAGTTGCTTTTGGAGGTCGGAAAAGCCAAAATTTATTGTTGAAAAGCTTCTCCATTCTCCACGTGTATGGTTCGTGTCTTTGATTGATGAGGTCCAGCAAGTTCATTGGACCTTATTTTTGGGAAAATAAATGGATTTGGCTATCGAGATATGATTAATGAATATTTTACGTTACGTTAACGATAACGTTTACTTTCAACAGGGCGGTATAAGTGACTCACAAGGCAAAAGTTTCCGTACAATGTGTTCCCTCGAATAGTGTTCCTTAACATCTTGATACTTCTTCCTTTGGGGTCCACGTAAGAGATAAGGGCTACGCTAGAAGACCAAGGTCGAGTCGAAAGTTCAAAAATGGAACTCGTGAGGCTTTGTAGGGCATACAGCAGCCACTTTGCGATTTGGTGACGGAAAATTTCATAAAAAGTATAGGGTAGTCGTGGCGGCCATTTGGCTGATATTGTCTTTACATTAAAATAAACCTCTGATTATACGTGTATTATATTTTTCTTTGACTATCAAAATAACATCTTTTATTGGAAAACCCTGTATAACAAAATAAAATAAAATATATAAATTTATTCAGGCATAATTTAAATAAATTTAAAATTATGTTGGGCAAACAATGTAAAAACAAAAAAAAATAATAAAAAGAATTAAATTTAATTGAATCGAGTTATATAAATGAAATAAAAATAAAATGAATAAATACAAATTAGTTACTGTTCAAATGTATTCTGGAATCATGCTGGTTGCCTCAATGGGCCTGACCTCACTTCCTCTCTGTTTTTCTGTTAATTTCAAAGCCACACAAAAATAATTCTCATCTTGAGATACTTTAATTTATGCTCACATTTCCTCTCGCAAGCCCTAATTTTTATATGAATAAGCATTTTTTTTTGTTGCATAACACTTGTTTCCACACATTCAAATTTTTTCCTCTTGCAAACAATGCAGCTGCCTCTCTGATTTCCTTCCTTCCTGCCAGTCGGAGACTAACAAAGCAGTGTTGAATACATTTTATGAGCTACGCTTTTGTACTTGTTTAAGTTATCCCTCCCAAATAAACCCCATTTCTCTTCGCCTACGAATCATACTGACCTATGACTGTGACTTCGCCACTGCGACGCGCGCTGTGCCCCTGCTTGTTACGCGCCCAGCATGTGTAGACACCCGAATCGGTATTTTTCTGCACCGGTGTGATGGTCAGCGAGCCATCCGGTTGAACGCGTTGCCGGATGTCATCAGGCAGCTCGCGGCCGTTACGTTCCCAATGTATCTCTTCGATGGGGTAGCCGGCAACGGGACACTTCAAGTTTAGGGTTTCACCCGACACGGCAGTGACTTTCGGTATGAGACGGATGTAGGGTAGACCTGTAAGACGGAGAGGAGGAGAGAATGTATATGTTATTATATTTAAAATATTTAAATTACGAAAGTTTTGCTGAAAAATAGAAAGTACAATAGTATATAGTGATATTTAGGGCTGAGCTTAGAAATTCAGCTGAGCTTCGGGGAATAATCTGAACTATTTGAAAATGTTCTAGTTTTTAAGCATTCTATTCAGATTTCAAGCTTAGGGTCAATGATCGTTCTCCAAATTTGTTTTTCAGGTCCAAAAAAGAAACGTTGTAAATGTGAGTGAAATTGAAAATGTATCAAAAAGATAAAAAAAAAGTGACTGCGTACTGGCATTTATACAGGCAAGAATTTTGTACTCAGCGAAAGTGCATATTCACACTAATGCCACAACGCCACAGCACCACATATACTCACACACAAATATACTCATATTTTTAGGATAAGTGAATGAACGCATGGACAGTTACACAACAACTATGCCTACACACGTACAGAGGCGACGGGCAGCTGGCAGCTTGCAGCATGTGAAATATGGAACACTGGAATGGCACAGAGGGCAAGGCGGGAGGGGCAAAAGCTTTGGTTTTTATCTATGTGGGTCAGTGAGACGTCAGCAAATTCCTGTTCTGTAGCTGTGGTATTTCATGTAGCTGCTGTTTTTGGCCTCGCATTTTTTTTGAAATTTTGTCGCAAATACTTTTTTCCATTTCTTTTTTTCATTTCTCATTTTTTTTCAGTACTTCATGTATGTATGTTGATTATTTGTTTGCTTTCCTTAACAAATAAAAAGACTGCAACTACAAAAAATGGCGGCGACAGTTGAATTTACAAAAAAAAAGCTAACCATTTGCATTTGCATTTATGAAAGGCTGACTTGTTTTCAGTTGCAAATTTATAAAATTTATATAACAAACTTTGTTGCATACGATTTTTGTGTCTATTTTTTTCAATTTACGTAAAGTTAACGTCGAAAAAATCACTGATAAGCTTTGCAGGCAGTGAAGTATGCCGTTGAATAGAGAAATGTATGCATGAATATGTCAATTTTATAAATGAAAAAAATACTATTTTATTAATTCAAATATATTTTAACAGTTTTTTAATATCAATTTTTCCTATAAAATAATATTTTATTAACCTTATAACTTCTTGCCCGAACGCGCTCAGACTAAACCAAAGGACTGAGGAAATAAAAAGTTTTGTATTAAAATTTTGACCTTTCACCTTTTTGATTATATTCTCGAGAATGATATAGTTTTACACACTTCATAAGCAATTCCATTTTTATGAACCGCAAAAAGTTAGCCTCCACTTTTAAAGGTAAAAAAATGACTCATATTTTTCATGCCTTAGCTGTACTAATTTAATAACGACAGATCTTCCTGCTGCCACTCGTGACAATTAAAGCGAACCGAGAAACAGGATCATCTTCGCAGATGTGGACAGCGCCGGCATTACCGGACACACTACAATAGGCACTACTCAAGGAGGCGTTTTACCGCCACTGCTAATGTCTAATAGCAAACACGCTTATTAGGAAACTACAAGGCGCAAGCTGTCTTTGCCCTAACAGCGATAGGTAAGCATCTACAAACTTTAAGTGATCTACTCCAAAATGCTCTATATATTGTTGGGAACAGGTGCAACGATAGCGGACCCAAACCAAAGGGCGTGGAAATTACCCTCTCTCCCGAAGTCAAATACCATGGGATAATCATATATAGCAAGCTAAACTGTAGTCAAACACGGCAGAGAAATCAAGGAAAGTTACAACTGCTCTTTACGCCTGCATAACGGCGATAGAAAAAAATGCGATCTAAGACCGGGTATCGTTTACTAAATTTATACGACGGTGGTTAGATCAATCCTATTTCTCGGCGTCACCGTTTGGTGGTCGACACTCGATAAAATTACTTTCAGCAGCAAGCCAGAGATAGTTCAACGATCGGCTGCTCTCCTAGTAACAGGAGTACTCCCATCAACTTATCGAAAGCCCCGTTAACTCTTCTCAATATCTATCCTCTGGACCTCTCCGAAAAACTACAGGCGGGCTGCAATGCAATCAAACTGACGCGGCTCAACCTTGGAAGAATTGCAGTATACAGTAGACAAACAAAAATATTATCTCTTGCGGAAGTGTGAATCACGGACGGCTCGAAGCTTGATGGAAAAATGGACTGCGGAATTATTGAACATCAGCACGAGACCGATCTCTTCACTCACACGATGCTGGTTTACCTTTGTCCACGGTAAAGTAAATGCCTAAAGTGGCCTTTGCCATGGAAGCTGACTCAAAATGGTTGAACGAGATCACTTGCAACGTAACCACGCAGCTATGGTTGAAGCTGAACGTGAACAAACATCTTATTCTTGTAAGCCGGTTCTCCATCTTCATAATGACGAACTAGACACTGTTTAATGGGGCTTCCCGAGAAAAGATTGGGCTATCACTATAAATCTCGCTTAACTAAATGCAGACATCACCGCCGCCCTAGATGCGATGGACGGGAGAATGACGCAAGTGAGTAGGTTCTTCTGGCATATAATACAGCGGTCATATAAAGAAGCGAAGATTTTTGTGTGTGATTTTTGGTGGCACAGAGACTCCGTCGTCGAATACTGGCAGTCACCCCACGCAGCGTCACAAACCGCATCAAAGCGAAGTTTTTCAACGTGTCGTTGATTTTCGCCCACGCACCTACGGAAGAGAAGCTTCATTTGGCCAAATAAGACTTTTGGGAGCGTCTCGAGCATACTAACGAGCGCTTCTCCCGACACGATGTGAAAATAGTTCTTGGTGATTTTAATGTCAAGATGAGCAAAGAAGGTATCTTTGGTATGGCTGTTGGTTACTTGGCTGTCCCATGACCGAAAACACAAAACCAGATCGATCATGTTGTGATAGAGAGAAAACATGCCTCCAGTATTCTTGATGTGCGTACACTCGGAGAACCCAACTTCTACTCGGATCACTATCTTGTTGCAGCGAAGATACGCACGCGCCTCTGTGTATCGAAGAACGCCCGTCAACAAACGCAAGTCTGCTTGACTTGCACTCCTGCATTCTCAGAGCACTCATTAACGACTCAATATAAGGGATCTGTGGAAGAGCATTTTAAGATCTCTACGTACCTACGTACCGCTGCAAAAGTCGCAAAAACATCTGTTACGATGAGGACTGCCGTGTCGCAGCGGAGAAAAAATAGACTGCCTTTCTCGCAACGTTGCGATCAATCACAACACGTGCGGGCTGGTGAAGGTATTGACAATTTAATGGGGAAGCGAGACGCATCTGCAGGCGAAACAAAAAAGAGGCCGAGATGCGTGAGTATGAAGAGCTTAAGAAGCAGGCTGAAAAGGTTGATGCTCGTAAATTCTATGAGAAGATATGACGAATTAGAGAAGTTGTCAAGACCGGAACAGACTCCTGAAGAACACAAAGAGGTGATATAGCTACCGATGCCCATAGCATATTGAAATCATGAAGGAAACACAGCTGGTGAACACGAAACCCAAGTCGATGGCAATGAAACAGACGTTCCATTGCCTGTCCATGAAGATGTTCGAATAGCAATCGCCCGCTTAATAAACCAATTTAGTCGAACGATGATTGGAACCTAAATGTGTTCTGTCTAATTCACAAAAAAGGGGATCCCATAGTCTGCGCCAATTATAGTGAAATAAGCCTCCTTAAGGTCCTGTCTAGTGTTTTGTGTGAAAGACTAAAGCCTACCGTCATCAAACTAATTGGACCTTTTCAGTGTGGCTTCAGACCTGATAAATCAACCACTGGCCAGATATTCACCATACGCTAAATTTTGGAAGATCCATGAAAAGATGATCGACACACACCACCTTTTCGTTTATTTTGAATCAGCTTTCTACGGAACAAAGCTACCTCTACGGGTCTATTTTTGAATTCGGTATCCCGCAAAACTACTCAGTTGAACGCTAGAAAACACCAGAAGCGCAGTCAGAATTGGGAAGGCCCTCTCCGAGCCGTTCGGTACCAAATTTCTTATCGTGTAACTTTCTTAACTTATTTTCGGAGAAAATGGTACTAACTGCAGAGCTGAATAGAGAAGGTATAATCTTCTATAAGAGTTTAAAGCTGCTGGCGTACGCCGATGATATTGACATTTTCAGCCTCAACAACCGCGCCGTGAGTTCTGCTTTCTCCAGACCCTCCAAAGAAGCGAAGCAAATGACTCTGGTAGCCTCCTTTCTTCACCCTAACAGTCATCGCATTCGTTACTCGGCTCCCACGTCACTGTTGACAGTCATAACTTTGAAGTCGTAGATAACTTCGTTTATCTAGGCACCAGCATCAACACCAATAATAATGTCAGCCTGGAAATCCTACCCAAAATTACTCTTGCCAAAAGGTGCTTAGACTGAGTAGGCCATTGAAAAGTAACGGAAACCAAACTCTTAAAGTCCCTCATCCCTCTCGTCTTTCTGTATGCTGCGGAAGCATGGGCGATGACAACACTTGATAATTCGGCGCCAGGAGTTTTCGAGAGAGGGGTTTTGCATAAGATTTATGGTGTTCTGCGAGTTGGTAGCGGCGAATACCGCAGCCGATGGACGGCTAACAGCTCACACAATTTTTAAATCCTTAAAAGAAACTTTGTGTAGTTTTAGTATATTTTTTGCTTTAGTGTCGAAATTTTTATTTTTTTATTTTATTTTTAATATTTTGAAAAAATTTAGAATCTCTGAGCTGGCTACGGATGGAAAGGGGTGACTGAGTAAAGTCTAAATTCTATCATTTACATGAGAAAACCACTTTAAAAGTTATTTTAATTTTAAATACTTCCAATTTGGAAATAAAAAAATAAGCATGTATGGGTGTACAACAAACAAGTCTAAACTTTTCAAAGATGTTTGCACATGCATACATACATTTATATCAGCACATATTTTCACGTACATACAAAGGTAGTTGAATGCACTGAGCTCATATGAAATTTTTCGCCGATTTTTTGTTGCGCCTTAACCATTTGTCGGTTCGCTTCTACAACTCTAAACCATTTTCGGTGGCTGACCAACTGAAAAATGCGCCGCGAGCATAAAATATGACATTGAAAAAAAAAATCATTGAAAAAGATTTAAAAATGCATTTATTCAGTGTCGAATGCAAACATACATACATATATGATTGTACACATGTGTTGATGGAAAATATAGACAAGGCAAATACAGTTTTTCTATTTTTCGCTGTGAATGACCTCAACAGAGAAATGGACATAAATAAATATATATGTGGTATGTCAATGCCTTCCAGCGGGCATGAAGCTCCATCGAAGCGGTCACCATCAACAGCCAAATGTGACATAAAAGAATGATTTTATTTATATCTATTTTTCCACAGCGTATTTATGACAGTATTTTTAGCAAAGTCACTGATATGTCATAAAACTCCATTCAAACCAAAAAATAAAAACAAAAAATAAATGAAAATACAAGAAATAAAAACGTTCACTTATTCAGAATAATTAAAACCAAAAAATTTAAAATATGAAAAACATTTTTAAAACTTTTTTATTACATACATTTTTATTGTTGTTGCTCTTACCATAAATATTTAAACGTGCCGCATGTTGAACCTTTCCCGCCCGATTCTCCGCAATGCACGAATACTCGCCGCCATCCTCCACCATGACATGGCTAATGTTGACGTGACTAATTACATCGCCATGGACAGTGATGTATTGTCCGATCATAAATCTGTGTTGGCAGCGTACGAACGAGCGAATAAATATGGAAGAGAAGAGAAAATGCGAGCGAGTGTATCAGTTTAAAATTGCAGAAGAATTGAGAGTAATCAAAATTTTATATTATATGTAAGTGTGTGTGTATGTATATAGAAATGCACTGTAGGAGATGGGATTGTAATTCAATATAATTATGAAAATATGATAAAACACATTTTTTCACATACACACGCGTCTGTCTGATACATCATTTAGTAATATATTAATTTTTGAAGAAATTATTTGTATTATTCATACTTTGTGACGGATGAGAAAGCTGAAACTTGCTATTCAAACCAAAGGCAATATAATGGCCACCATATTGTGTGTTCATTGTTGCCATATATATTGGCGTGATGACATTTCGGTGAAATCGTGTAAATGGAATAAGTCTCCTTAAGAAATTCGTCCAATTAAATGTATATAACCGTTGAAACGATTTTCGCTCGAGGTTCTTTTCAATTTTGAGTTGTGCGTCGTGATGGTTTTTCCAACAATCTCTTGAACGGCTTATGGCTTTTATGAGTAGTTTTTATTTAAATTTCTGAAATACATTTATAAAGCTTGGCCCGACAAGAGCGACCGCAATTAGAAAAGCGAAATCTTTTATATTTTTGCTTTAATTAGTTATATTTAAAATTATAATATTGGTTCGGCCTGGACTTGAGCCTACGACCATACTGATCATAGATATGTGTCATATAAAAATTATTTAAATCCTAAGAAAACTACGCTCACTTTTCAAAATAGTCATAATTTAGAAACCAATAATAAAAATGAAATCAGATTTGACATCAGAAATTTTTTCCATTTTACTAAAAGTCATAAAGAGAGAACTATTATTCGTCCCTCCCTTTGGGTGAAAAATAGTTAAATATGATTTTTTTGAAGTTGCTTATGTGAAAAAAGAACGCGACACGAAGAATGACAATGGAAGGAAGATTTAGAGCCTTTTCGTATAAATAAAAAAAGACCTGAAGTATGTATGTATGTATACCTTAATCTTGGAACAAATGGTACTTAACGAACGCGTAGTTTTTGAGAACTTGGGCTAATTGTACAGCTATTTTGAAAATAAAAATACAATTGAACCATGCTAAATTTTTGCAGTTGATGGAAGTCAAATTTTCCGTAAAAAAAACACAAAGAATACAAAAATATTCTATGCTCTGGCTCTGGAACCACTCTGCTGAGTTTATTTCTATGGATGAAGTAAGATATTGGTCGGTTTATAATCATCTCATATAAATTAGAAGGTGACCAGGCGACCATCAGGACTCATTATATTACTTTTACAATCATGTTATATACTAACAGACCCGATCTCACGTAGCTTTTTGAAATTTTTATTATTATTATTAAAAGCTCTAGTTAGGCATTGCGGTCGCGGTAGCCGCGTACTGTGATTCGGAAGGCTCTGGTTCAAATCCCCATGCCACCAACATCCAAAAATTCATGAAAATTTATTTCAATAAAAAATTAAGTGAAGTTTTTTAATTTGCGGTCGCCCCTCCGCAGGGAATGTAAACCACTCCGAGTGTATTTGTGGCATGAAATAAAGTATCCTCATAAAAAAAACCAGCCGTTCGGAGGCGGCTTAGTATATACATTCATTTGTTGCGAAAATATCAAGACGCAAAAACCAAATTAGAAGAAGAGCTCGGATATTTTTGATCTATTTACGTATTTTCATATATGTGTAGCTTTTTCAAGGTCATTTACCTTAATGTCAATATCAATACCGGGAAGAAACCCAAAAGCCCCAGCCGGATCTATACTTATTCACAAAATGATAAAACGTTTATGTTTAGCTTGTAAGGCGGTGCCATAAAATATTAAAATAACATGGAACAACGAGCATAATTACACCTATCCATGCTTGTATTCAAACCATATCTTTTGTTTTATTTTATTTTTTTTTTTCAAATAAATTTGGTCTACTTTCTGAAAATGAAATAATGGGTCGCTCTCTGGCTATAGAAATAAGCTGATAAATTTTGAATATAACCTGTTGGATAGCTTTAGAGATCCTGTAAAAACATACAAATAAATACATATAGATATATAGATGTATGTTTTATTTGAATTAATAAATTGCAAGCTTTCGCGCCAATAAAAGGTTTTGAAAACACAGTCACAGACTTAGAATGCAAGAGTAGAGGGTATATTACTTTACGACAATTTGTTGATGAAACATTTTTAATATCGCTTTTAAGAGATTAAATTTTTCAGAAATTAAAAATTAGAAAGTGAATAAGTCAAAAGTCTCACGACATCCCACTCTGAAATACCAAATTTTTTTTTTTTAAATGGATACTTTCTGCAGCAATAATTTTAAAACTTGTATTATTGAATATTGAAGTTTTTTTGGATGTACTTCATCTTTTTTTTCAAAAAAAATAAAATAGATTTCCCAAACAGCTACCTAGAAAAAAGTAATTTTGGATTTATACCTACTTCATTAAAAGTTAGTACTTCTATTAACACCTATTTTATTTATTCGTTTCGTTTCATTCTGCGTTGCGTTACGGGTTGTTATCGGTGTTCTTTAATTTGACATTTGAGGTCAACACATCAATACTATTCAGTTTCGCTAAGGTGAAAAATTTACTCAACGAAATGAAATTAAATCGTTAACGTTGAAACCGCGCGAGCTAATCGCCAACGTTACATAACATAACATAGCTGTTTGCTTTGATTTAATAGGACACTTCAATGTTCATGTTTAACAATTTCTGTTAATTATTTAACATAAGCGACACCTTCGTTTCTAGGAGAACCGAAATAAAACTTATTTTGAGAACTACTTTAAGGATAAAATTCCCAAATTTTTCAAACGAATCGATTGAAACTTTTGGTTAATGTGAAATGTATCCTTACGATGCAGCCATGATATATAAATATTTCTGGTAAGAACTTAAGATGCTCTTCGCTGTGATAATCGGAGAAAATGCTGAGAAAAATTTTAAAATTTGTGTTTTTGCAGTCCTAGAGTAATAAATTGTAACTTTTTAAGCAATGCTCATGCCACTGGCTGTAGAAGCATTTCAGAAATTTTGAAATGAGATCTGCTAAATGTATTGTAATGAACCAATTGCTACTCTGATTGGACGATTCCCGAGAGCGCGGCATGATTTCAAATTTTTTTTATTTCATCTAGGTGAAGAAGTGCATATTTCTGAACCTTTTGTCATATTAAATTATATTGTCTAGTACTCGAAGCTAGTACTATTTTTCAGCATTTTTGAGCAGTATTATATTAAAAATACTCTCTAAAATTAAAAGTTTAGAGAAACTCGAGGCTCTTCTGAAAGCTCATATGAAATTACAAACTTTTTCGATTTTGGAGTGCAGATCAGCCATAAGCATTATAAAGCTACCAACGCATTCAAAAAACTCACAGATTAAGTCGGTTTATGGGCCGGTGAATAGTGAGCGCTACCATGAGATTATATCAAACTTTTTTTTTGCCTAGAATGCAAGAGCTTGACCTGCACGACATGTGGTTTCAACAAGACTTAATGGACTTATTGAGAGGCAAGTTCGGGGCCGGTCAATTGGCCGCCTAGATCGTGCGATTTAACGCCTTTGGACTATTTGTGTGGCTGAGTTAAATCTATTGTCTATACGTACAAGTCCATTTCAATTGACGCATTGGAGGACAACATTGAGGCATTTATTCGTGAGATACTGGCCGAAATGTGTGCCAAAATTGGACCATTTGAGGCGCAGTCACGGTCAACATTTGAAATAATCTTCAATCATTAAATAATATGGACCGTACTATCCATTCAAATAAAGATTTCATGCATTTTTCTGAATTTTATGTGCTTTTTTTTAACACCTTTCCTATATCTCTTAAAAAACCACCTTTTATGTTTAAAAATCGAAAAGACTTAATTTTTTTTTGTTGCAGAGATATTATTTTAACAGAAATCATAAATATTTTTATGAGCTCTTTATTTTAATTCAAAATTATAATTCATTTAAGTGAGCCTATATAAATTATGAAATATTTATTTAAACATTTAACTACACTACTTAGACTCATTTTCTTGTTGTCGCTCACATAAGTGGCGATTAAAATGAAAATCAATCAATTTTAATTACATACTTGCATGCTTAGGTACTTGCAGCTGTCGTTGTTGTTAAGAAGATTGATGCCGTTAATTCATCATAATATATATAAACATATACATATGGGTATATACAAGTAGAACTGTATATATATATATATATATATATATAAATTAAAGAAAATACAGAAACTTGTCCTTATAAACTCGACTTCCTTTTAACATTCTCTTGTTGTGAATAATCTGATTTTCTAGCAAAACAACATAAATATGTATATAATGCCAAACGACCACATGCACACACACATATTATATACATATATGCATTACATAATTACATTTACTTGAAGCCGACTTAACGCTACAGGACATAGTAGAAACGGAATTTTAATTAGCAGCAAATACTTGCTTACACAATCACATACAAACATGCATATATATAACTGTTCATTGCTGCGTCAGACGCAATTACTGACTCTTGTAGTGCTATTTGAGCTTGACTGAAGTTTGTGCTTCTTCTTAAAGCCTGCTGACCAACACACCAATTGAATTTATGAGGGCAGTTGTTGTTCGTTGTGGTAATTAGAATAGTGATAGAGAAGAAGTTTATTATTTTTTTATATTCAAACTACAGAAATTTAGCTGCCAAGAGAAATATGATTTAAATGAGAAAATGCATAAGGTTGCCACCTGGCTGAATTTCTTCAAATTATGTAGTTTAAAATATGTTGTATAAATTACTGTCATTTAGCAAGATTAAGGAGAAAGATACTTGATACATGGCTGCCACCTTTTTGATATTTGAGCATAAAAAATGCTTAAAAACTAAAGTTGCACCATATGGGTATATACAAATTTTAGAGTTCGAAACATATGTGTGTAGAGTTGCCAACTGCTT